ATAATTTAAAGTGGTATTATATGTAGAACATTGCTCAACATTGAGAAAACAACAAATAAATCATTAATTAACACCTATTGTACAAATATATTATAACAAAATAAGCTCAAAATTGCGTGTCAACTTACTTTCCGCGTGAGCCTTTTATACAAATTTAAAACTATACGTCTGTTATTTATAGTTTCCTGAACTAAACTGAACAATAAGCTAGTAGAACTAAACAATAAGTGATAATTAACTTCAGAGCCTGGAAAAAGAATATGAACACTTGGCTTTTCATCAGAAATACATACTTTCGAACATGTCAACATACATTTCGCGGCGACTGTACATACTATCAAATCGTATACCAGGATTGGGGCGTTATTGAAATAAAGCATCTGAAAAATGATCATCAACGTAATAGTAAAGACATTGGAAAAGTTTCTTTACTTTATTACACTGACCAACGGCAATTACGCGTGGACAAATAAAAAATTGAAACACACCAGATTTTTTTGCTCAAAGATTTGTCTTTGTATCTGTTGGAATGAAAATCACCGCATTCGTTACCCTAGTTGCATGTTCAGTAGTTGGTACCCCTGCCTGGACGATACATGTATATGTTAGCGTCAATTCCTTTTTCAAGGGGTGACACGTGTCAGGGTCAATGCATTTGAGGCTATGACCAGATTCTCAAGAGTATCGTAGGTATCGATACCGGAACCATAAGTCTGTCATCAGACTTGGCCCACTCGAGGCGCGACGAATTCTAGGAGTCGCGGATGTTTTGTTTATATGTCGGCGATAGGGAGCCCCATCGCCGATTCTCGAAAGGTACCGTGCGTGTGGCCGATGACCTGAAGTCATGGTGCTGTACGACACGTGTAGTACGATAAGGATTTTCTAGAAGGATCTGGCCACGGAGTGGGGAAGGCTTTGCCTTTTGGTAAGAGGACTGTGATGAACCCCACGGCACTTACCCCAGAACCTTGGTAAAACGCGGATCATAAAAAGATTCTTCTAACATATAAATACGGGGGGTCACCGCGTGCGCGTCCCCTTCTTCTAGAATGTTCTATCGCGAACCGTCGTGTAAAATGGACAAAGGAATAGTTCTTAGTTAAAGAATTAAAATTACGTTGGACTATGTTCGTGTGCGCGTATAACTATAGTTACACGTATTTACATGTACATTTAGAATTATAAGTTTAGTGTTTATTTAATATACCACGACCACGTGCTACGCAAATCTCACTACATTTGCAGCTCGCGACACGATAGCCAAGTGCAAATTAACCCTCGGGCTAAAGCGAGTTTGACATACCTGGTACAGGCTGTATTTAATTAGAATACTTTTGTAAATAAAGATAAAACGGTTATCTTCTAAGGTTAATTCTATTAGAGTAATTATTTAAAACGCTTGTTGCATACCGAGCCGCGTTGGAGACTTAAAAATAGTCAAACGCACGCGTATCTAACACAATTTTCAAAGCTGTTTTTTTCTCAATAACAGAAAGGATAACACGTAACATTTGTTCCAGCAAATATATGATTTGTCGTTTCAAGTCTGACAAACCTGTCCATCTTTTCGATTTTTCAACGGCATGATTCGCCGTGTTTAAAGTACGCGTTTAATGGCGCTTTCAAACGACGAGGGACCGTGCCAAGAAAGCATAAAGGCGATTTCAGATGCATGTTCTCGCGTATTTTAAGTTGCGAGGCACGTGCCTGAAGCGAACCACGAAAGTTGCACGAATTTGAAAGTCAATCGTCTTGGTAACGTTCTTTCAGTTGTACGATAATCGAGTGAAAACATACGAGTACCGTGAACGGTATAAAAAACGGTGACAACGTTGTTGTAGAACTTTCCTAGTATTATAATTGAACGTTTTAAATAGTTGAAACTTCTAACGAAAACTATTAACTGAGAAGAACATAAAGATAAAAATTCTACTAATGTTTTAAAACGTCATTCTGAAAAAGTGGTTCATAAACTTTACCCGAATGCCAAGAGAAAAAGAACGTCCATAGAAAAAGGAAGGTTAAGAACCACTGATCTATACCTAGATCGACTACAGCGCTCAATGAGTCAGGCAAATCGAGTCAATAATCGTAGCATGACGGAAGATGGCGCCGGTGAACGTTAACGAAACTTGTTTACACAGATTAAGGTCATTGTTGAAGTCTTGCAATGTTATCGCAAAGAACTGTTTACAAACGAAACCACTGAATCACGATCAAAATTTTTGTTCAAATACTTATTTATCGTTAAGATGGCTATGTTCAATCTAAGCACCTGACTTTAAATATCTTTCCTCACTCGGTTATCTTGATACAAATCGCCGGCTGATAAACACTGCACGATACATATCTAATGAGAACGTCTCCAACCAAAATTACTGTACTGTCTTTTATTCGATAAGTAAAATGTCTAGCAGAAGTGAGAACACACACAACTTCGTTAATTTCTTTGTTTATTATACAGACTCCACTTGCGAGCATGTCTAGTTTAATTAACGATGTTACAATAGAACGCGTGCAGATGACTATAAGATAATTGAAAACTTTGCGTCATTAAAAGTCAGGTCGTGCGAAACTCATTTTTGAAGCTTTGATATTTTTCCAAATTTTTGTAAATACCTACGCATAATGTTATTGTTACTATTTAACTTTTCTATTTCTTTATCCGTTACACGATATCAAACATCATTGAACGATCGGATTTTAGTTTATCAAAAAGATTGAAAAGTCCGTTTAGTTTGAAAAACCACCTTTGATATTTTTTACACTTAAAACATGCTCTCTATGTATGTCAAAAATATTTTTAACGATATCCTTAACTGTATTGACATTTTTTTACGTTTTACTTTTATGTATTAGTAGCATTTTTATTTTTGAAGAGTTCAACCTTATGGAAAATGTTTTTTTCTAACAATGTAAAATGATCAAATCAGTCAAAAAAAAAAAAAAACAGATCGTGTGAACGAGCTGTACGGGTCACAAGACCGTCATGAACTATGGCAATTGGCTTCCTGACAATGCAGAACAAGTGATTCAGCTGAATACATATAATGAACAGAAGTCTCTAATAACACTAAACAAGCAACGCACGAAATTAACGGAATCATTGAAAATTTGATCACATTTCTTAGAAAACAAAAAAAAAAGGAAACAAATACCTGTACATATACATATGTAAAAATATACCTACTATGAAACGATAATTACTCGATTACGATCAAATGATCGTTCATTAAATAAAAATAAAATTGCGTGTATGGCCAAACAACATGTTTATATTTATATTTGTTCACATTTTTATCGATCGACTTACGTCGTTGGATTCCGATGACAAACGATGCAGTATTTTTTCACTTCTTTACTTTCTGAAAATATCAAGATTACGACAAGAATAACCGGCAAGCAGAGAAAACTAAATACACGCGAGTGAAACGACGTAGAAATTGGGCCACTCTATAAATAAAGAATTTTAGTACAACGGTATTCGAATCTTACAAGAAGGGGACAATTTTCGTACTTTTAATAAACGATTTCTTGCAACGTTTATAAAAATATCAACCTTAAAATGATTACTTTTATAGTTCATTAATTCTTCTTAAGTAGAAAGGAACGATGGCGCTCCGACAAAGGAAAAACGTTCGATATCTTCGAATTCGATTTTGAATCAGACAATTCACAGACTAGCATGTATAAATTAAAAGGAAGAAGTTTCGTTACAAAAACTTATTTATCACACTCACCCTTGAAAATCCAGCATGTCGTTCGAATGGATCTCGGCCTGATCTGTTGGTCGGTTCGAAGAAAGACTTGCTGTCTTCGTCAAATTGCTGTTTGATCTCTTGCAAAAGTTCGTCGCCCGATTTACCGCGCAGTCTGTCGCCGAATTTCGACTTGTCGCGGAAATAGAAGGACATTCTTATGTGTACGTGTACACGATTCTTTCATACACAGTTCAAGCGTAGCACTTTTCGGGTTTTAATCAAACACTAAGTGTTTCACTCGAAAGAACGTACTTTTAACTACACTCTTACCATAAAACAAACTTTCACACCAACCACGTACGAAGCGTTGCGCGTGACTGAAAGCTCGCGCCGAGCCGCGGTAAGAGTAATCAAAGACCACGCATGCGTATTACGTTTCTCTTAATTGAGGTTCCCCGGCACGAACACGCGCGTTTATTGGTACGCGTTCGATCGTTGACCAATCACAACACGTATCGTCGAAGATTTGTCTCTAAGAACCCCAGAATCTTGATGCAAGTTCCGATGCGCGCAAGAGTCAAGTTGTAACAATCTAAATTTAATCGGCGGCTATTTAAGTTTTGCATTTTTTTTATTTATAAACCGCCACGGAACGTCTCGCGTAATACTTTCATTTGTTACAACGCAATCAAGCATAGTATTCGAAGAAATTACGTTCTATATTATGTAACGATCGAGAAACAAACGTTATAATTAATTGCAATGTATTTAAATGATCTTTAAAAATTATAATTTCTTTATATTCAATCACATCTAATCTTTAGAATACATATGAGATATTATTAAATTATATCGTTATTTTGGATTATTAAAATTATTATTATTATTATCGTTACTTAAAATACGTTAAATGAAATTTCTTCTTACGATGTATAAAAATGATAAGTTTAAAAAAGTTCCATAAATATCCACATTTTGTACACATATTTATGATAATATCTTACGTTTGTTTAAATGCATCATATTGAAGTGATCGTCACGTGAGGATACAAGTAATATTTTAAATAGTTTATGTTGTGAAAGGTGTAGTAAGTTCATTGAGTTGCACAGTTTATACGAAATTTTATCGTGTTTCAATCGTTGAAGTTTTATACGATTAATTACCGTTACATACAATTATTTCAATTTCTTTTTTTTTATGTTTGTATAACCTAATAAGTTCAATCATCTAAAGGTGAATTCTTTATTTTATTGCTTTATTTCAAAACTGTTTTGTTCAAAAATATTTATAATATCAAGTTTAGTTATATACATCTAGAAATTTCGTTGTAATTGTTAAAGTAAATGTAAATTCTAAATATTTTTACGTATAATGTATACATATGCATTATTATTGTTACAGACATAATTAAAGAATAGCAAGATGTACCTCTGCATTATTTGTCAGCATGCGAACATTTCTATTACATATTTACATGACCATTATGTCCAACATCATACCCCACAAGAATTATCGCATGCTATTATCAATCTTCAAGGCTTAAAGTTTATAGGAGAGAAAAGTTTAAAATCTATTATGTTAGGTGACAATAATAACAATGGAAACTTATGTAACCAAGTTGTTGCTGAGACTGAAAAACAAAATAGTCATGATGAAACATATTGTTTATTATACTGCAGTCAGTTTATTGTTTGGGAACAAGAATTGAACAAAAGAACAGAAATATGTGACGATGATTTTTTTAATATCATTGATGATCTTTGCACTGATTTAAGTAAGAAAACACAGAAAAAGAGAAAAAGAGAGAACAAAGCACTTATGAGTAAAATTAAAACAGACAACATTGTTCAGCATAATGAAGATGAAAATATACAAATACAGAATAAAAACATGGAAACATTTAATAATCTTGCTGTTCAAATTTCCACAGCTTCATCAATTTCATCTTGGAATATTGAAAGTTCAAATATTAATACAGTTTCTCATGATAAAATTCTTAAATCAGAAATAAACGAGGAGGTTGCCACTGAAAATGATACACCGTTAACAATACTTGATATTGACGCTAACAAAAATGTTCTAATGTATAATTCATCAGATGATACTTATTTTTGGACTTCAATGTTATCTGAAAATTTTGATTAAAAAGAAATATCTACTAATAAAATAATGTAGTTTTTAAACATCGATAAATAATTGATGAAAATACTACCAAAAATTTTTTCATATTTCAATTAAAACAAAACTCTATATAGTAGTAGAAAGGAAATGTAATAAAATATGTAAAGACTGAATCAAATACGAGGAAGAAGTATATTTTCTGTTTTGTACCAATACTAAATCTGATTGTTTTTTTAAGTGAAACTTGTTTCTTCAAGATTTTAGTTTATTTACAAATATGCTATGATTAGTAAGTTTTTATTTTCTTTTATATGTATGTATTCTGTATTATTTACGTATGCAATAATGCATAGAAATTTCGCTTTACCTTTAGCATATAAATGATGTAAAAAGATAGATTCTTTCTATCTCAAATAAATGTATTATTAATAATAATAATTCCACTTTAATTATAATTCTCCTCGTTATAAAATTAAACATACAAATTATGATTGCGCATTATAAGGGCAACAGATGCAGTATGAATTGCATACTTTACTTTTAGAAGCAATATTTAAATATAAAATTGTATACCGTATTCGTGTAAAAATGATATTCGTAGTTCCACTTTTATACAATTGACAAGGCACGTTATTTTTAATTAGTAACAGTCCATTGAATTCACATCTCCTTGCTTGTGCATTATTAATATATCATCCAAGATAGACTCAAAGCTGGTAGTATACGTAGTCAACCATCGAGTTTTTTCTTCAATGATGGCATCAATGTTTAAATTAAAAATCGTTTGGAGAAAGCTTTGTCTGGTTACACAGGAAATAAATTCAAACGTCTTTTCCTCTGTGCTTTGTATTTCTTCAACCATTTTCATAGAATTCTTGTAGATCGATGCAAGAAGATTCGCATCATTATCATCTACAATTTCTTCGATCACATTGCTAGAGTTACTGAATACCTCCTCGGAATTGGAACTTGCAACATTATTTGGTTGTTCATATTTAATGTACGAAGTATCTATTGTAGCACTGTCTTTGGGTAAAGGCAGCTCTGGTAAAGGTTCATTGAGTTTATATTTCAGAAGGAATGATTTAAGTTTGTTTAATATAGCTGCCGAAGTTCTACACACTTCAAAATCGCTGTCATCTTCTAAAGTAACTAAAAGAACCTAAAATTTGCAACAATAAAATATTACATATTGTTTCGGATAAATATTGCATAAATTACTTACTCCTAAACAATTTTGCTTTGCTAATTCATCCAATGCTTTATTAAGTCTTCGTTTTATTTCATTTTCATTTAATGACATAATTTTTCTGTGTTCTTTGGAAAATGTTACTTTTGGAAAATGTCCATCAAGCACTCCTTGATCAGATAAATGTGACTTTATAAATTGCGTCCAATATTCGAGGGCGTTTGTTTTTACTTCCCAGTGAAGATCAAAGACAGCAGCCATTGACATTGCTCGGGACATTGAATCAATAACGTTTCTCCTAAACAACAGTATATCAACAATTTATAAACAATAGCCATTGCTTCTATATATTTGTACTTACTGCCATTTACAATGTACATATAATTCTTTTATTAAAATTACAGCTTCTTTTCTGACTATAGCTTCACTTTCATTGTTCAGTAAATTAATGGCAACATCCTGAAATGTAAGCGAAAGTATTTTTTCTTATATACTTTAGTTGACGATTTTATACTTATTAGAAAAAACATACAGGTAGATTAAGTTGCGATAATTTTTCTTCCCATAGTCTGTTTATTCGAACAGTAGTTGAAATAAAAGCTAATGCAGATGCCCGAACATAACTTTCACTGTCCGTTTTAGCTATTTCAAGCGCTAATTGTAAGAACTGATTTGTTAATAAAAATTCTTGAAATGCTGGATATTCTGTACATAGTTAAACATATTGCATATTAACACATATTATAATTATATTGTGTAGAAACTACATTCATAAACAATTGTACTTAAAAACTTACTGTCTTCAGAAATTGTAGCGATAGTATTTAAAACTTCTAGAACACTGTCCCTTACTTCCCAATTTGCATTGTGCAATCTTTTGAAAAGTGTTGGTCCTATATCGTTCATATGACTGTCTGTTTCAACAAGTAGTACTAAATTTGGTGGCATAAAATTCTGAATTGCTAACTTACATACTTTTAAAGCTTTTACACATACCTGAAAATAGACTTAATGAGAATATATAAACTACATACAAAGGGTATAGCCGAATAAGGGGGTCAAATGTGCCCTTGAACGAAATGTGACATACGATAGATCCATCGATAGAGCATCAAGAAAAAACGTTCTGTGCCAAATTTTAACCCTCTATCTTGTTTGGAAGGGTAGTTATTGAGAAAATTCGGATTAACGAATTTCTGCCTATTTCCCCTATTTAATCGAGTAGAAAAATTATGAAAAAAATCTGGTGCATTGCGACTATTGAGATACGTGTTTGAGAATTTTTTCCGATTTTTCAATTTCAAATCCTAGGTGTGAAAAATTAAAAACGCAAAAAAACGCAGAAAAATACCGATTTCGTATTGAAGCTTTCGAGACACTAGATTTATATAATTACTGTAAATGCATATTGTCATTGGTTATGTCCCTGAATTTTTTCAGATTTTTTGGCAGGGTGCGCCGTAGTAGCAAAAATGAAAAACTGATTTTTTCGGCGTTTTTCGCGTGAAAAAGCAACTTATACTTTGAATTTTTGTATTCCCTTTAATAGATAACTATATTCTGTGGTTTTAAATATTTCCATGTTGAGTAAAACAGTGTATACAAGAAGAAAAGCAAAAATAAGTCAAGAAAAAAAACGTGCTATGCGCGTTGTATTCAGAAGTATCAGCATTATTTCCAAGAGCTGCGATGGTGCAGTGAGTAAGATGCTTGGCTGCGAGACTGCTGCAAACTTTTTGACGCGCGTTCGCGCCCTGCTACGGTACATTTTTTTTTATTATATTAATTTTTTTTTTTTCAATTTCTAACTAAACGACAATGAAAAACTATTAGTTTATTAATATTTAAAAAATATTTTTACCTAAAATATACGCAAAAACAATTATGGAGCAGTTTCTATTCCATCATTTCTCTAGTCGTATATTTGCTTAAATACCCTACTGTTTCATTTTTTCTACGTTAAATGAATATACGTACTTAGTTTTAAAATCGCATACCTTTAATAACTTTGAATAGTGGAAGAAGATTTCTTCAATAAAAAGAACATTAGCAGTCTTTGCATATAGTTACGGATATCATGATGACAAGATTTATGATGTGCAAGGTTTATGAATGTTTACGTCTATTGGCAGTCTAAATTACTTATTTCAGACGAGAAATTGTTCTCTTATTATCCATTTCCGTTACACATGTCCACATTTCAACAAAGGCGAATATATGTACCGTCAAAAATAAGTGCTAGCTGGTCTGTTATATTATACAACTGTTTAGCAATAATGGACGTTTCATTTTCTATTAAATGTTGACGAGAAAAAGCCGCGACTCCGAAATGATATGGTAAAATATCTTTTTCAAACGAGTTCCTAACTGCTTTACAAAAATCGGATACCTGTTGTTCGCGCTCTAACCCAAAAATTGAAGCTATCATACTATTCGAATTTCCAGTACGCAATTTAAATAAAAAGACAACAATAGCCTGTGTCACAGCTCGTTTTTCCGTATTTCTCATGGACTTCATCATTTCTCTAAGTTGAATTAGATTTTCCCAAGTTAATCCCGTGAATATTTTAAGACGTTCTTCTGATAATATAAAATCACCTATTTTATCTTTAATACTAGAATCACTACTAACTGCAAGGTATTCGAGTAAGAGAAATAAGTAATTTAGACTGCCAATAGACGTAAACATTCATAAACCTTGCACATCATAAATCTTGTCATCATAAATCTTGTCATCATAAATCTTGTCATCATGATATCCGTAACTATATGCAAAGACTGCTAATGTTCTTTTTATTGAAGAAATCTTCTTCCACTATTCAAAGTTATTAAAGGTATGCGATTTTAAAACTAAGTACGTATATTCATTTAACGTAGAAAAAATGAAACAGTAGGGTATTTAAGCAAATATACGACTAGAGAAATGATGGAATAGAAACTGCTCCATAATTGTTTTTGCGTATATTTTAGGTAAAAATATTTTTTAAATATTAATAAACTAATAGTTTTTCATTGTCGTTTAGTTAGAAATTGAAAATAAAAAATTAATATAATAAAAAAAAATGTACCGTAGCAGGGCGCGAACGCGCGTCAAAAAGTTTGCAGCAGTTTCGCAGCCAAGCATCTTACTCACTGCACCATCGCAGCTCTTGGAAATAATGCTGATACTTCTGAATACAACGCGCATGGCACGTTTTTTTTCTTGACTTATTTTTGCTTTTCTTCTTGTATACACTGTTTTACTCAACATGGAAATGTTTTAAAACCACAGAATATAGTTATCTATTAAAGGGAATACAAAAATTCAAAGTATAAGTTGCTTTTTCACGCGAAAAACGCCGAAAAAATCGGTTTTTCATTTTTGCTACTACGGCGCACCCTGCCAAAAAATCTGAAAAAATTCAGGGACATAACCAATGACAATATGCATTTACAGTAATTATATAAATCTAGTGTCTCGAAAGCTTCAATACGAAATCGGTATTTTTCTGCGTTTTTTTGCGTTTTTAATTTTTCACACCTAGGATTTGAAATCGAAAAATCGGAAAAAATTCTCAAACACGTATCTCAATAGTCGCAATGCACCAGATTTTTTTCATAATTTTTCTACTCGATTAAATAGGGGAAATAGGCAGAAATTCGTTAATCCGAATTTTCTCAATAACTACCCTTCCAAACAAGATAGAGGGTTAAAATTTGGCACAGAACGTTTTTTCTTGATGCTCTATCGATGGATCTATCGTATGTCACATTTCGTTCAAGGGCACATTTAACCCCCTTATTCGGCTATACCCTTTTATAAGTTACTTTGAATGCATACCACAGGTATTATTCCTGGATGGTTCAAGATTTCTTGCGCAAGTGATAACAAGCATATAGTTTCTACGCATTCTTGCCACTTTAATTTAAACTTTTCTGTCATTACTGCCAATCCATTGAGAAGCGAGGCTAACAATACAGGATGATCAACTATAGGATCTCCTTCTAGCGGGGATATAAATGTAGATTTCTTTGGTCCATTTTCCAAGTTTCCCACATTATTTGTTCCTATAGTATTCATTGTCTCGTTACAGATATCTGGCACATAATTCTTGAGTACGTGGCACAACGTTTGAAATGTAATTACTGCGATATCCTGTTACATGTACATACAAAACTATTAGTTATGATCATTAACAACTACTTTATAATTAAATATCGACATAAATAAGCAATGATTTCGATAATTATAAGCAATTTTTACTATATTTACCCTGTCCATAATGTCTGTTATTTCTAGAAGTATATCGATGGATACTTTACAAATTTGTGCTAAAGGTAAATCATTCTTATATACAGCATCTCTTATATTATATGCCAACCGTTGTACGGCTGTACACGTTACATCAATCATTTTAGTAAGAAACATATCAAAGAGATCATGAGTTATGTATGTCTGTTTAACACATACAGCTAAAGGTATAATCTATTAATAAAAAAAAAGAGAATTACTATAATTATTTGTTAATACAATTATCATTATGCTGATATGTAATAGGAAAATCCATACCATTATGCTTATAGCTTGATGTTCAAACTTGTGTTGATGTGGTACAACGAATTCATGTAACGATTGGAGTTTCTTCCAATATATCAACAGAAGCTTATTTGTCTTTACTATTTCTATTATATACTTCTTTGATAAAAGCATCATAGATATATAACATAAATCATAAGAGAACTGTTGGGTTATTTCAGCATCAATAGTTTCTTGTCCTTCTCTAATAGCACGTTTTAATGGAATAAGTAAACATAACACTAACAGCTTATGAATGTGTGGCAAAAATGTTGTGCTAATACATGCTTCAAAAATGGCCTTGACTCTCATGTCTAAATTAATAATTTCTTGGCATAATTCAGGTATTGTATTATCCATGTTTGCAAATAATGTATTTTCAATTATACTAGTTAATAAATCTAACGTAGTGCATAGTAATTTATTTTGTTCCAAATAATTATCTTCCAACCCATTACACACCTGAGGCTCAAATGTGTTAGACATTAACGGTGCAGCAATTGCTGTAATAACTTCCTTACAAAATTTTACATTTTGTTGTTCTTGTAAAAGTAAAAGCCACAAAAATGTTTGACTTTCACGTGTCACATACATAGTATGATTCCAGTGCGCATATTTTACAATATCCTTCCAAACTTCTAAAAAACCAATGTCAATCACGTTTTAATTGCATTAATAGATTTAGTCGTATTAAAAATATAATTATATATTGCTCACCAGAATCTATAATCCATTGTCTGCCACTTCGATGTTTAATCAAGTCGGATAACATTGTAGTATAAGCCATTTTAATAGATGCTGGCAAATCGTCTCCATGAATTTTAAGGATATCGCGCAATCTGTTATACACATTCTGGCAGTGCCAGTAATGAAAATGTAGTTCATTGCGTGAAATTATTCCCACAAGTTTCAAAGTAAATATACTTATAGGCTGAGAAGGTTTGCAATCAACATTCCAAACATTCAATGCTTTTAATACCCACTTTTGTAGTAATACACAGTGTTTATAATCTGCTGTACCTGAAATAAATTATTTGAAAAGACTCATATTACTGATTGCATATCTTTGATATGTGTAAGGAGGTATAGTAAATCAAACTATGAATTAGTGTAAAATAAGAGGAATAATACAGAAAAAATGTGTAACAAGTATAACCAAACTAAATCAGAAACATTTTCTCGTATAATTTTATAAATGTACATTATAACATGGTATCTAACATTTCCTTACACTCTTTTATATTCTCAGAAATGTGGGTCAACAGAAGATCAAGATAAGTAGTAGACACGATGTTATAATTAGGTAACAAAAACAATTCCAAAACTTCGGATAACCTTTCATCGTTCTTTAATGATGTCATTGTGCTCTCGTATTAAATTTGCAATAATTATGCAAAAACACTAAATTATTCCTTAATTTTTTTTTAATCTACATATCTTCCAGACAGCCTATTGTACGTCGCAAATTTTAAAAATGAATACTACTTAGAATACTCATATTTTCTCACATTCGTATTTAAAAAACGAGTGTAAGGAAAGATTATAATCCTTTAAACATGTGCAATTAAATAGAACTCGTATAAATCGGAGTAAAGTTACCACTATCAATCAGATTAGATATGTATGTATATGCAGAGATGCCAGAAAAGCACCGCCGGGTGCACACGCACACATGCCAGATACGCGTACGTGAGCTCGTGGAGTTTCGGAAAGTCGACAAAGGCAAACTGACGCATGCCCTCTTTCTCGATTCTCCGAAGCTGCCCGAAGTAATTTCGGATCGCCTCGTGGGAGTCGAGAGAGAAAGGCTCACATTTGCCTTCTCGCTCTAAACAACTGAAGTCCGACCTGTCCGACCTCCCGTCAACGGCATACGATTTGGATTCTCGAGCCGAGATTCTCGACTGCCCAGGCATTTTTACTTTCCGACCTATGTAGGCGCACATAAGCAAAGTACCCATAATGAAAAAAAAATTTTGTAAATTTATTTTACGGAAATACACGTTTTAAGACCTCCTGATCATATTTTAATTATTGAAAAAAAAGAAATTTTTTTTTATTCCCATGTATGAGCACACATGTATATTATTAATACGATTGAATATAAATAGCTGAATGAACTTAAATGAAACTTTACATTTAAGTTTTATGTTCTCATTTCAAAGGCGTGTGGACGGATTCAAATACGTGAACACTAAACGTAACGATGTAATTATATTATTTAATATTTACTAACTATTTAACATAAAGAACATAAAAGAAAGACATAAAACGTAAACGTAAAAGATCATAAACGTAAAACTGTGATTGCTCTCGACCAACGTTCGATACAGAGTGACGTTCCTGCAGTCAAAGTCGACCCTTCCTTATTCCTATCTTATAATAATGATCTAAACAAAACGCACGTTCGAGACGCAGTCTCTAAAACGTATTTCAGCTTAAACCTAAACACCTCACTCGATACCTACTCTAGCTTAGACTAAACACTCCTATCGACGCAAACGATAACGGTTCCTAGCCACACACATACACTCCTTACAGATTATACCTCTTGTTTCATAGTTGTTCCGATATACATATAGGCATAATGTATAAAAAATCTTTTAAATGTTTCATATAAATCTTAGGACGAATTAATTTTTATATAAAAAAAATTATATAAACTTTTTCTCTATCTTCTATAGAAAAGAAAACATTAAATGAAATCTTATACATTACATGCTTACTTAAATCGCATTGAAAACGAATACCACAAATGTTTTAGAATAATGTGCAAAATGTGATTGCGATTTTCTAACTCGTTTCTAACAAGGAAAAGTTGGAATGGAACCAGGTTTTGCGTTAGGTTTTACTTTGAGATATTATTAAAGTTATTACAGGTACTTATTTTTAGAAATAGAACTATGTTCACCACTAATCAGCGTGGCGTGAGTGATGAGGTCTTTGCCTGCAAGTTCCGAACTTCTTCTGCTCTGCTGGTTCGAACCCTGCTTGAACTTTTTTTTTTTATTTTTTCAATCATACTTTAATCGTACACTAAATATGACATTATATTTTTGTCTGACCTTCGAATATTTTTTTTTGAAGTTAAATTTAACCGATTACATTTAACATATGTTATTTTCAATGTACGAAGTACATGAATCTGGATGGTACTTTTCACAAAAACAGTCAAAACATAAAAATTTCAAGCACCACGTACATTTACTGAAAGTTTTGTTTTCACAGAAATAACAAAATTTTGTATCTAACTCTGATGGAAAGGCCGCTTCATTTACATTGATAAAATGTGAACGATTTTCGGATAATCGTACCTTGTAGCTCGTACTTTTTACCTTATACTTCAGGTAAAAAGGGATATAGCTGGGAAAAACAGTTTTATGACATTACCTGCTAACTTATGTTACTGTTCTACAATGAAAGGCTATGTTTTGTACCTTTAAAAATATTCGACTATGTGCTTTTAAAATTTAAGATACAACCCATACTTTGTATTAAACTGGCAAACGGGATCACTTTTCCTTTGTTTCTAGTTAGTTCTATTTAGTTCGTCATAACCAATTGATACGATTATTTCAAAACAATCGAGGAAAATCATTTTTTTTTTTTTTTTATTTATTTGTTTAAAGTCGCATCAACCGCTAAGGGTTATTAGCGACTCGGAGAATACATTTTTAGAGTTTGTTGTACAATTTGGTAATTTTGAGGTACTGTAATAGATTTTGGGTCGATGTGTTGTCCTTCAGATTGTCCTTTAGGGTTGGTTTTATGTTGAGCCGTTGCCTGATTGGAATATATTTTCTGCAGTGGATGATGATGTGTTCTATTGTTAGGAGGTCTTTGCATGTTTCGCATATTGGTGGGCCTGTTTTTTGGAGGAGGTGTTGATGGGTCAGTTTGGTGTGGCCTATAATGATTCGTGATACTCTCACTTGGTCTGGTCTGGGTAATTTCCAGGTAATGGATTTTTCATAGAAGTCATTTTTGATTAATTTTGTACGGGATTTGGTTGATGTGCTCCACTCTTTGTTCCAACAGTTTTTACTTTTTTCTTTGAGAATGGAGAGTAACGTTTCCAGGTGAGTGCCGTTGTCGTGGTGGTTGGGGGTGGATGAGTTGGCTGCTTCTTTAGCTGCACGGTCCGCTTTTTCGTTGCCGGTTATGTCAATGTGGGAAGGAATCCATATTACTGTTATTGAGTTGTTCTTTTGGCTTGATCTGGTGTAGACTTCTTGACATTCTTGGATGACAGGGTTGCTTGTCCATAGTTTTTGTGTTGCTGAGATGGCGCTTGTGGAGTCACAGAAAATTGCAAAATTTGTATTTTGGTCGGTTAAAGTTGATTTGATGGCGCGTTTAATTGCTTGAAGTTCGCATAGGAAGATAGACGTTTTGTGATGGAGTTTAACTTTTTCGGTTGACTGGTTCCTGACAATTGCGTATCCGGATCCGAATGGTGCCTTGGACCCGTCTGTGTATATATGCACGTGGTTTGCGAGTCCCGCTTCCAATTCTTGGAACATAGCCTTTAGCATGATTGGATCAGATTTCTTTTGACTGTAGTTCAGTAGAGAGGTGTTAGTGCTGATTCTTGGAAAGGTCCACGGAGGGATGCTGGGGATGGATCTGCTCGATGTGAGCTGGATTTCCATGCCAAGCTCCTTCAGATAATTACTGATTCTGTAGCAAAGTGGATGGGGTGTTCTTTTCCTTTGTTGCAAGTAGTTTAGGTTGTTTTTTCTGAATACATTATGGAAGACTGGGTTCTGTGGGTGGGAGGCAATTCTGACTGCAAATTTGATACTTAGGTATTTTCTTCTAATTCGTAATGGAGGTTCTGAAGCTTCACTAAGGATGCCGTTGATCGGGCTAGTGCGGAAGGCGCCCACAGTTATTCTGAGAGCATTGTTGTGTACAGGGTCTAATTTCTTTACTATGTTGGTGTTGGCTGAGTTGTATATGATTGATCCATAATCCAGTTTTGATCTCACTATTGCCTTATACGTTAGGAGTAGGGTTTTGAGGTCGGCTCCCCAGTTATTTGCAGCTATTGTTCTAAGTATGTTTAGTCGTTGGTAGGAAAATCATTATTAATTAATTTCTGCAATTATTAATTCTACTGTTTTGTTTATGTTAAAAAGTAAGAACTCTTCTTATTGAAAAATACCACAGCGTGCACAATACTGGTAAAGAGTGGAATCTCATTTTAATTTATTAATTTTCAAAGTATTTTGATTTTCAAAAATCGTATTAATAATATACATACGTGTGCTCATACATGGGAATAAAAAAAAATTTCTTTTTTTTCAATAATTAAAATATGATCAGGAGGTCTTAAAACGTGTATTTCCGTAAAATAAATTTTACAAAATTTTTTTTTCATTATGGGTACTTTGCTTATGTGCGCCTACATAGGTCGGAAAGTAAAAATGCCTGGGCAGTCGAGAATCTCGGCTCGAGAATCCAAATCGTATGCCGTTGACGGGAGGTCGGATTTCAGTTGTTTAGAGCGAGAAGGCAAATGTGAGCCTTTCTCTCTCGACTCCCACGAGGCGATCCGAAATTACTTCGGGCAGCTTCGGAGAATCGAGAAAGAGGGCATGCGTCAGTTTGCCTTTGTCGACTTTCCGAAACTCCACGAGCTCACGTACGCGTATCTGGCATGCGCGCGTGTGCACCCGGCGGTGCTTTTCCTGGCATTTCTGTGTATGTTGTTTACTTTTTCTGCTACTGGCGGTCATTTTAAACTTACTATTAGCAATTGCTTACTTGAAACAAGTAATAATTAAATCAGACATTGTTACTTGACAATGGTTGTAGTATAATCTAAAAAATATATGTTCTAATAAAATTAATAGAATAGACTTGTTAAACAGAAATTAACATGCAAGTGCGTATATGTAAGTACATTCATAAATGTTTTAAAGGTTTCATGATATAATTGTATAATTCAAATGTAACTCGTGTTAATAAAATAAGACGAAAATCAAGAATACCAATTTGTTGATTGAGGCTTCGTTAAAAAGTTATTAACGTTTAAAGTTACGCTTGTAGAACGGCAATCTGAGAACAGCTGCATACGCGTGATAGTGGTTCTCACTCAAAAATCTGTAAGGCTGTCGATGAGTCAGTAAGTAGAGTTTCTCATGCTGAGTGAAAACCACTATCGCATGCACGCAGCCGTACGCAGATTGCCGTTCTACTTGCGGAACTTGAAACGTTAATAACTTTTTAACGAAGCCTCCATCAACAAATTGGTAGTCTTGATTTTCATCTTATTTTGGTCTCTAGAATCTTCCATTAAAATTTTTCCCAGGGATGGCCGAACACCCTGTATATACTGTATACATACACAGTATTATATAACATATAATGTATATTAAAATGAGGTAAAATATGTCTATAATATTTATTTTATATTCAGATTTGTTTCGTTATAATTGCAATTAAATAATATTTTAATAAAATTATTCTAGTTTTTACAAAGTAGATTTTCATGTTACAGTATGATAGGGCAAATACAATGAGAAAATAACTGTTGAAAATCATACTTTCAAAATTTTCATCTCAAATATTTCATGCCACATGATTATTTTTCACAATTGATCTTAAAAGCACAAATCTTTCTTTCGCCAAAAGAAATAATGATGGGGAGTGTTGTCAATTGGATATCGATAAAAATTTATTTACCAAGTACATATAGTTGAGATTATGCACGACGAATACGTTTATGTATAATTACGTATATATTACAACATACATAATATCACAGCTGACTTTAATGCGAACCATGCTAAGCGAGAAGCAGTAAAGTTGCGAGAGTCAAATTTTGCGCTGTATAGACAGAGATGCACAAATACTGCATACTCTTTCTATCAAGTGCAAAAGTAGCAAATTTTCAGATTCTTACAGTTTTACTGTTTTTCGTTCAACATAGCTAGAACTGGAGTCGGTTGTGATAGTCCTGATAGAAGTTGAGAACCTGTAATGCTGAAATTAATACATACATATGTATGTTCCCTTCAAGTCCAGTTTTTGTTGATACGACACTTGTATGAAAGGAAAATAGATATTGGTTCTATCGTGATATTATCTTTACCGTGCAATGAACTTTGTTACTTAATTAATTATAGATATAAAAAATACTTTTGACTCAGTAATCGTTGCAGTGTGATAATTTCGTATAAGACACATTAATTGTGCTGTAAAAACAAAGGTATTTAATTACAATTTATTTGGTCCTGTTAGCTATCATTTTCTTAAATTAACAATTTCTGTTTCGTTATGTATATGCCTGTATTAAATATCTGATATTAATTATCTGATTGAGAATATTATTTTTTATTATGAAATTATTATAATATAATCATTGGATAAATATGTTCATTCGTTTATCCTGACGTTTACTGCTTTATCCATTGTGGCCAGATTTGACATAATTGAGTGCATCGACGGTGATCGTAGTAACGACGAACTTTCTTGACATTTAACGGAGTATGTAGTGGCCGTGTAACGTGAGCTTGACACTTCGGGAAATCGTGTACAGTCCTCCGCTGACTTGAAGTCTCGCGGAAGGAATGCGGGAGAAGTAGAAGGGATACACGTATTCCCACGCACACATTGATCTCTAGCTCACTGTTCATCGCGGCAGTTACACAACATGTGAACTGCCTGAGAGTAAGGGAGCGAGATAGATAAATGGGCGGTCCGACTCCCCTTGCTCCTGTGCCGTACCACGAGACATCAAGTCAGCGGACCACTGTACGGGTACTGTCCTCCGCTGATTGAAGTCTTACGGGACGTCACAGAAGCAAGGGGAGTCGGAACGCCCATTTATCTATCTCGCTCCTTTGCTCTCAGGCAGTCCACATGTGTGTGTAACTGCCGCGACGAATAGCGAGCTAGAGATCAATGTGTGCGTGGGAATACGTGTATCCTTTCTACTTCTCCAGCATTCCTTCCGCGAGCTTCAAGTCAACGGAGGACTGTACCTACGTGGTTCGTATGATAGTATTGTATGTCTGCTTTCCCCATCTCCGTTAAACGCTAAGGAAGTTCGTCGTTACTAGTGTCGCCGTCGATGTACTTAATTTGGCAATTATGCCAAATCTGACCACACTGATTTTATCTCCTTAAATCGCATAATATTCATTTTTTTGAGGTGGCGATTAAAAATACTTATATCTATACGCTTTAAAGTTTTCATTGCCCTATTGCAATAATACAATTTACAAATATTGTAATGTTTACTAATCGTTATATTATTGTACTGCTCTAAAAACTATTAGCCTGTTATCCGTTTTATATTTTATTTCGTGTAACGAATTATAAATCATTTATCCTTCGTTCATGATCATATTTCGGATGTTCATCATTACTTGCTATATTTTGAAAATTAGTTTTTTATTGTAATTTACAAAATATTTTGTATATTGTACGTTTTGTAATATAGTTAAATCAGTGATATTTAATACTTTAATTATAAATTTATTATTAATACTTTAAATATTTAAGGCCTTAATTAATCATATTAGCATGAACGAGATACTGTTTCTGTATTCACTTTACTTCAATGCATAATATTAATTTATACTTCTGATGAGTTTAAATATACTGGAACCTTGTAACATAAAATTATATTAAATTTATGGAATATTTACATACATATGCACGTTTTGATTAGATTAGCAAAGCACATAGTGAAATTCTTTTGTTATCTGAGACAACGTTGTAACATTATTTCCTTTTATGTGAAGTAGTGGTTTTTCACATCTGTTTAATGATATACATTTTTTTTTGAATCTTGAGTGTTTTAATATTTGTTCTGAATACTTTCATGAATATTATTTACAGAATTTTATACACAATTAAAAATGGCATGGACACATTACCAACGTATATTAGCTGTACTTTTGGTTGTAACTGGATCATTTAATAGTTTATCGGTAAAGTAAGTAACTAAATTGACATAAATACAATGTAAAAAATTATTTAATTAAAATATAATTAATTAAAGAAAAATATATATAACTTTATGTAACTAAATATATTTATTGTCTTTAATTTAGATTTGCCGATAAACAAATAGTACCGGGTGAAGATGGTGAGCTCAGGCATTTCAATCATCCGTTTATGCAGTCTTCCTTTATGTTTGTAGGGGAGATGATGTGTCTTGTAGTATTTAAAGTTGTTTATCATTACTACAGTCGTAAAGGTGTAAGTTTTATCCATTAAATCACGGCTGGCCAACTTACGATTGATTTTTTTTTTTCTTAAAAATGTGTCATGATCTACCTATTAAAATCTTGACATTTAGCACATTCAAACTTGTGTCTTATGTACTAATAAGTGACAATGGGGGAGGAGGTTTGCATGTCGAAATCATCTCTTGTTGGCCATTCCTGCATTAGATGAACATATATTACATTTATTAGCTGCAAATATTTATCATCAGAATTGTCTAATTATAGGATGGCTCTGTGGATAACAATACTTTAACTAAAGGATCACAAACATTTAATCCTTTTATTTTATTCATTCCTGCATTGTGCGATATGTGCGCTACATCTGTTATGTATGTCGGCTTGAGTTTGACATACGTGAGTAGTTTTCAAATGTTGCGTGGTGCTGTTATTATATTCACAGCTATCCTTTCTATGAGTTTTCTCAATAGAAAACTAGGTAGCAGAGAATGGATTGGTATAGGAATGGTTTTAATTGGTTTAGTTCTTGTTGGACTCAGTGACATAATAGTTATGGAAAATTCAAATAGTAACACAAATTCTATTATAACTGGAGATTTACTTATTATATGTGCTCAGGTAAAATTATACCATTTATATGCTTTCATTATTAAGTAATAAAATCTGTTTATTTTAAAAATAAGGCAAATGTCAGTTACACAGACTTATTACAATAGATTATAACAGCTGTTCAAATGGTGGTAGAAGAAAAATTTATAGCAGAGCAAAATATACCAGCGCTGCAAGCAGTTGGTTGGGAAGGTACTTTGTAATACTTTTAAAATATAAAATATTCATTTACATTAAAAACAATACATAAAAATGTACTTTTTACAGGTGTCTTTGGATTCATTAGTATATGTATTTTAATGATTCCTCTTAATTTTATACCTGCATCACCTCCGTTTGCTGACAATTCTCGAGGGACACTTGAAGCTACTAAAGATGCTTTTATCCAAATTGGAAACAGTGGTCTATTGCTGATGGCAATAGTAGGTCAGTATATTCATAATTAATTGTAACTTACAAACATCTCATTGATGAAACAATTATAGACATTTATTAAATATATTATTTTTGCACAGGTATTGCATTCAGTATAGCTTTTTTTAATTTTTCGGGTATCAGCGTTACCAAAGAAATGAGTGCTACTACAAGAATGATTTTAGATAGTATTCGAACTATTGTTATATGGGCTTTCTCTTTAGCAGTTGGTTGGCAAACTTTTCATTACTTACAGGTAAATATCCTACCATTACTTTCACATAAGTTAATGCATATTTAATGAAATTCAATTGTTATTTTTTGTAGCTTATTGGTTTCACCATGCTACTAATTGGAATGTCGTGCTATAACAACATTATTATTCCTCAATTAATAAGAAAATGTAGATACCAATTAGGTCGTCATAGACCACCTCCATGTAACCAAATCATTAATATAATGGCAGACGATATTCCAGAAACTCAGTGAAACTTATATTACTCATTCAATACTCTAGGATGTCGACCATCCTGTGTGTGATATTAAGAACTATTATAGTTTCTATAAAGAACGGTAAAGCCTGTGATCTTAATGACATATGAAATTTATGTCTTGCTTTAAAAAATTGATTAAAATTGATTGTATTTTTAAGACTAACAAGATTACAATTTATAAAATCAGTAACAATTTCTATAGATAGAAATTGATTATTAAATAGAAATATTCAAGTTTATTATATAAAATAAGTATTTTGCAATTTTTATGTAAGCTTTTTACACGAATATATCAATTATTTTACAGGTGCTTTGTACATCCGTTCAAATCCATACATAATATCCAATACTAATTTTTCCTTGAAGAAATGTTTTGAATGCCAATTAATATAACAATATTTTTCCACCGTTAAAATTAGTTTGAAAAGAATTAAAAATTAAATTAATAATTTCAAAATTATAATACATTTACGGTTGTAATTATTATAACTAAAATGTGAGTATTTTACAACTACATACTTATTTTTTGATGTAATAGAACACATTAAATAAATTATTTTATCATGGTATTATTTTGTGTTATCCAAAGAAAACTTATTAAAACAATTTAATAAATATGAATAACGTTGCAAAATAATCCTTGATCCTTTATTTTTTATTCAGTATTTTTAAAATTTTACATTATTACTTATGAAAATATTGGTAGAAGGCAACCATTTCCTACATTTTATCCACATATAACAGAATATTAAGTTTCAAGGTGTCGGTGAGACTGAATAAAAAGTTAAAATAATGCTTAAATATTAGACATATTTTATTATTTTGCATACTTCAGACGTAAATCATAAACTACTTTGTGCAAAAAATTGTTGTAGCATATACACATATATAATATGTACGTATTAGCACATTTTGTATACACACATATGTACCAGTATGCATGCATGCATAACTGGTACATGACTAAATGTATCTAACAGAAAGCTTTTGAAATAAAATAGTATTTATATTTTCAATAATCGGAATAGAATATATTTTGTGCTATCTTAGATAAATTACGCCTATAAAGACTAATATATTAGTACTGCACATTAGTTTGCAATTAATTGTAGAATCTTTCCGATTTGCGTCCCCCTTTTTGATTCAATCAAAAATGCTTTACGGAATGTTTCCTTTAATTATACGAATAACTTTTGCTATTTAACGTGTATTTCATTTTTTTATAAATTACTGTCGGCATAGAACCTTTGAACCGCGGTTTCATCGAATATAACTTCGATCCAAGACGGTGAATACATTTATAGTGTTCATACGATAACTCAAACATCTGTTCTAAAAATTTATCTATCCTTTACGGCTATGAGCAAGCACGTATGATATGACCATTAGAACTATCTAAACTTTAAATGAATTCGTAACATTTATTATGCGTTTACGACAGACAATGCAAATGGAAAATGAATTCAATTATATTGCTCCGGCAATACATAGGAAATGTCATCCCAAGGATGTCGGTACAGGCCTTGTTTCAATCTCTTTTGATCCATGTAATGACCTGCATTAACAAAACGTAGAATTATTGTTATTACTTGAGTACAATTTTGTATAAACTATCGAAAAGATGAATACTTACCAATGAAACCTATACTCCTACCAAGAACAAATAAACTATTTATAGCACCAATTTCGATGTATTCCTGCGCTTCTTCTCTAGTGAAACTCCCACTTTTCCTCAGCATGTCCACAAAAGCACAAGCAATAATGCCATCCACGTTAAGAATTAAATTAGGCTTCTTACTTGTAGTTATCTTTTCGACTTCTAATGCATATTCAACCAACGGTTTAGCAGGGAAATTCTCCATTACGAATTCTTTAATAAGCTTTACACGCATATCTGGATTGTTTATGGATTTGATACGGTGACCAATACCCATGATCAGTTTGCCTTTTTTACGCGTATTATTCACAAACTCTTGTGGATGTAACCCAGCATCGTAGGCTTCAGAAAACATACGAGCCGCTCCATCTAATGCTCCGCCGAAACGATCACCCTATTGTTCAAAGTTACATGAGATATTAATGCTAATTTCATAAGTATGGAAAAATATCGTGAAATCTGTTTGTTTTACTTACTATAGTTAAAAGGCCAGATACCAAAGAGCTAACTAAATCTTTACCAGCTCTTGCACAGACAATAGTGTTATGGGCTCCTGACACGGCGGGGCCGTGATCAGCCGTTAACATTAAAGACATCTCAAGGAATTTACAATACAAGATCGGCAGACATCGTTGAAACCACAACAATGAGACTACACCACCAATGCCTACATTTTGTTTAAAAACTTCGGTGACAGGCATTCCAGCATACAATAATTCTTGACCACGTTCGTCGCATATTGATGTCATGAATGAAGCTGGTTTCCGTATTAAACCGAGTTCCTACAAAAATTGATTTATTCATAATATTTATCAAGACACGTATAAAATTCTACTTGGTGATAATTAAATATATTACCCTAGCCCAACTGTAATCCATAGGAACGGTCGGTGGTGGAACTTCAGGTTCTGGAACGATCGTTCCTTCCTTTACGAGTTTTTCATAAACGTGCTGCATCAGATCTCCAAGAGTGTCAAAACTATCGGGAACGTAGGCACCAGCAGCTTTCAACGCAGCGTTCTTGGAAGAAGCTGTTTCCAAATTACTGTGGGCGATTGATCCAGCGTGACCAAATTGTACTTCAGAATTGAACATACTGGCACAGGTACCAATGCACCAAGCAATCAATGGCTTTGTAATCTTCTTTGATTTCAATGCTTGGCACACTTCGTATTCCTCCACACCACCTACTTCGCCAAGAAGAACTATGAGCTTTACTTCGGGATTTTCTTGATAGCGCATTATGTGATCCATAAACGTAGTTCCTGGATAACGATCTCCTCCAATCGCAACACCTTCCAACACTCCATTGGAAGCCTTGGAAATTATATTGTTTAATTCATTCGACATACCACCAGAACGAGAAACATATGCAACGCTAAAAAAATAAGATTATCTTAGTATCAAGATCGATATACCTTAATACAATGTAAGAAGGAAATATAGGATTTGTATTTTTTGTTATGGTAGATGACAAAAGTTACCTGCCAGGCCTATAAAGTTTACTGTGAAGAATATTGTCCATCATTCCGCCAGTATTACCAATCTTGAAACAGCCCGGTTTAAGACCTCCAACAGTAGCTGGACCAATAATCGTAACACCTCTTTCTTGTGCCATTAGAATTAGTTTTCTCGTCATATTTTCGGGTATGCCTTCGGCAATAATAGCAATCGTTCGAATTTGAGGGAACTGCAGCGCTTCAACTGTGCTTTCGTAAGCAGATCTTAAGGATGCAAATGTAACCATAACATCTGCATCTGTATGTTTAGTCGTAGCATCCTTCATTTGTTTGTAAACAGGGATGAGTATCTATTGCGTGTATTAAAAAGAAAAAAATTAAGATTTTTCATCATAATTAAAATAAAATAAAATATTTTATATGAATAAGAAAAATTGACAACTCTGTAAAGTACCTCTTTATGACCCCAGTAAAACTTTTGTTTGTGATCACCAGTGAAAGGGTATACAATAGCAGCAACAGATGGTTCAGATCTGCGACATACGAAGTCAAAGTCTAGCATACTTTGCACTGCTCTAGTTTGCATTCCCCAGATAATAGCTCTGGTTTTATTACTGAAAAGCTGCTTTTTTGACGATCCATCAACAGAGTCGCTTGTTTTTAATTTAGGTTGTTTGGTAGGCGAGCAAGATGCACTTTTTGAAGGTGCTGCAGGACCCACGTCTTGTCCCGAAGGCAATAAAAAGTTTGCGGTGGAAAATTCTTGAGCTTCAGGATCTGGAATCGGCTTTTTACCTAAAGCCATTGCACATATAGCCGTCATGTGGGTTTCCGGGCCGAATACATAAACAGGGATACCGAGTCTTCTACCAACTTCGCGGATAATTCTGAAATTAAAAACACAGAAATGCAATTATTTAATAATGTTCGTCGGATACATAAATTACTTTAAATTACTTTTTTTAAAATGCTTTTATACCTTAAACCTTCTTGATAATTTGGGCCTGCTCTTCTTACAAATATTTGTATTTTGTGTTCTACAAGTTTTGGCTGATACTCTTGTAGTGCCTTTACAATACCCTTAAAAGTTGCAGCTACATTCGTGAAATTAGCAATACCTCCGCCAATGATTAATACCTTTCCCTCTTCTCGTTTTTCTTTCGTCATTAAGCTCAAAATCGTTTTCGCGTAGTCATAAGTTTGCTGTTCACTGGGTGCACCAGAGTATTCACCATAATTTGCTAGTTCGTTTGTGGCGCCCAAGTCACAAATCGTATCTGAATATATTACAGATGCACCTGAAAAAATTTTTTACATAAAAAAAAATGCGTATGAATGCAATTAACCTTGCTAAAAAAAGGGAAACGATTTGACAATCACAATTTGGCTAGAATGAACCAGATTAATCACGTAAATGATACTGCTGTGCGCTTCTACTGACCACCGCCAGCAACCATAGTCCATATCCGACCAGCTGGATTAAGAAGAGTCAACTTCAAGCTAGCCCCAGATTTAGCATCCAAGTCAGCGATGTAGGCCTCTTCTGGATACGCATCCCGTCCAAATGGTGGTGGATAATCAATTTCTCCCCAGTCTGGTCTACATATGAAGTCCGCAGTTGTATCCAATTTAGCAGCAAGGTCAAGTATATAAATTCCATTGTCTGTCACCACCAATGGATTTATCTCCAAGTAAGTGAAATATAAATTAACGTAAAGTTTATAGAGAGACTCAATAAACTTAGCAATTGTTCTAGAAGCAAATAATCACACCATTATTCTTGAGGAACATTTTTAAAATAAACACAATAATTTCACTTTATAAGACTTACTCCTTTTTGTCATTTGCCACATGTACTAATAATTTTTCCATCAGCACAGATTGATCTGGTGCTTTTTCTCCAACAGATACTTCTAGTTTTAAAGCTTTTGCATCAACATCTCCAATATCAACGCCCCCTTCATGATGAAATAAAATAGTATCAGCTTTCCGGTGTGAATAGATACAAACGTAAGCTTCTTCTTCCTATAATTAAAAATATCATTGGTTTATTCTTTTTTTATTAACTCTCTATAGCAGCAACAAACATTTACCTGTTTATGAGGAACAAATGGTTCAATGATAAATGTTCTTAATTTTCCTGTTGTTTTTCCTATTAGCTGGTCCTTATTTATTCTCTCAGCTATCCATTGTTTCACTGTAGCCAAATCTGCGTTCACTTTAATTAGGCCAAGTTTTCCACGACGCTTGATTAACTGATCAGGCTTTACAACCAACTTTTCAGTTAGAAGCCACGGATTGGTGTTTACAACATCTGCCCAATTTGTCTGCTCTGTGATGGCCACAAATCGACATTTAACTGCATTTGTACCAAGAGGAAGTTTGCGATTAATGAGGTCTTTTCCAGTTGCTTCACGAATTGCTTTCGCAGACATCTTTTACCAGTTTCTAAAAGCAAATACGCAAACATTATTCATAAGTTAATAAGTATATTCATACCTTGTTATGCAGTCTCTTTTTATATGGCTTTTTGCTATAACAGCCTTCATTAATCCTAATATTAACAATTAATTATTTAATAAATGATAAAGGCCATTACAATGAAAAGCCATATAACGTAGTATGAGTATAGTAATTATTTTTTTCAAAAATATATAAAATCTTTCATTAAATATTATTTTCTGTTAATATTAATGAAACTTATTCAAAAATAATGAAAGTAATAAATCCATTATTAGTACAAAATTAAATTATCGAACACTATTCTTTAAATATATTTTTGGTTACATTTAATGTTTTACTATAAATAATAAAACATTATTTTTTATATGTTATGACTGATAACTGATCAGTGTTTAAAATATTTTATTTGTAAATTACATAATACACACAGAAAAGAAACGTGCACGTACATACAAGGTAAACGCGAATACCAACTTTAAAAGTTCTCAAGTCTAAAATGTTGAATGTTTCCAAGTAAAAGTTGGCCGACCGCATTCCAGCGTCGAACGGACAGAAGTTATCGAAATTAGTTTAAATATTTGATAATTCTTTCACAGACGAAGTAAATTTACTTTTCATTAATTTTATTCGATTTAACAAATATTAAACAATTTAAAGATTTCTCGAAATATGGAAAAGCTAATGAATTTCTTTTAATAGCATTAAAGTTTATAAAATCATGTAGGAAATTTTTGTTGGTTCTTTATTAAATTTTCCTAAACATTTTATGTTCACATATCATTTAAATCATATATGCATTTTTTCCAGCAGCAATAGATATGTGCATATATTGTACTATCATCGTGCATACAATCTGTAACGTATTAAAGTGTGAACGTAAGTAGTAATTACGTGTGCAGTTAAAATGCAAAATAATCTTTTAAATTACAATACAAAATTCTCATTGATAGGAAAATGCTTGGTAATAAACGATATAAAAAAAATATTACTACAGCTAAAACGTTCGAACGTTTGAATTAAGAATCGACTTTGCTCGATTTTTTTTAATTCTGCAACATTTAGAGCATTATAAGAACGATACAAACACTTCGAGGTATCCGTTGAATTCCAAAAAGAAATTTATTTGAAATGCAGTCACATCAATCGGTTGTCAGTTAAGAAACTAACATTAAAATTATAATTTAAATTAAGATTCATACGTGAGAGCTGCGTAATGACAGCCCCTCCTTAAACATTATAAGATTATATATCTAATAAAAAGATTTAAATTATTAAAAGTCGTATAACTTTTACATTAGTTGGAAAAAGAAATTTCGCATGGATTTATGACGAATACTTTCAACCAATAGTTCGTAGTTACTTATACAATCGTTTACGTCATTGTTTGATTTTTAAATATAGTTCTATGTACATAACTAGTTTTTAATAAATTCATGCAGTATAATTTTAATGGTACTCATGCATTTTTGTATATAAATAATTACTCAATCACAAAAGACTATGAACGAATGTACAAAACAGTAAATGAAAGCACATTCACTCACCGGAAACCTATAATGCTCAACGTTCGAATTAGCGGGTATAATAGAAGTCGACCTTAACCTTCTCGCGCTGTATTTTCTAACCTACGAGATTTTGAATAGAGAACACTGAAAAACGATCCGCCCCACACTGCCGCCGGCAGTTAACTGAACGTTCAAAGTGACATCGTGCGCATAAGTAAAGCCATACCACACGATATCTCGAAGATATCGTACGATTCTACCACTTTTTTTTCTCACGGTCGGTCGTATTAACCTATTTTCTTTTTTTTTCGTCATCACGCGCTGTACCGCTTATATTTCAAAGATTATAATGCAAAGATGTACTTCCTTTAAAATTTTTAGTTTTTAATTTTATAATTTCAATTCTTCGTTTACATTCCGATCATACTATTTTATAATATACACCTGTAATTTATCATAGAATGTATAGTTCAGTAATTAGTTAATCTTTACATTTTGTTTATATATAAATACTTTTGCATGAAAGGAATTTTTGTACTTAAATACAATATGTCGATATTCTTAACTTGTCTATAATGAAACTCGTAAGTTTCGACTTTCCAATAAAATATTTACACGTTTGATGTTACGCATCAGAGTCATGATTATGAAACGTAATGAAGTTTTATTAATGTATTTAATGTAATATTCATTAGGTACTCTAAACAGCGCAAGCAGTTTTATTAAAATTATTCTGGTACATGAATAGAATCATACAAGTCTAGAGGATCGTACGAGGATTAACAGAAGGTCACGTGACTGTAATGCGATCTGTGCTTACCACGTGGACAGATAGCAAAGGTTTTCAAGTTCTTATTATTATGCGATTTATTCATGATTTTAACATCGAATAAACTGTTACGTTGGATTAAATTTAAATAGACGTTCGTTGGGGAAATGTCAACTTATGAAAAAGTTGTTTAACCCTTGCACGACACCACGAGTAGAGAATATTCTAGATTCTAATGCAATCACTTTTTATGTAGTATCGTTAAGTTACACGTACTATTTGACGTGTTTTATCACATATAAACTCGTGAATATCATTAAATCATTTAAAATAATATTATCTCTAAACCGTTAAATTTATGGCATGTCATAGAACACGAATCTTAAGTCCTTTACTATGTATGTACATACAATTAATCGCAATAGAAAATTATTATTCTTTTAAGATTACTTAATGCTACTATACAAGCGGTACTTTCGTAATAATCATGATTCTCAAACACCATCAATTTAATACAGTGATTTTCAAAGTAATTAATATTAATTCAAATATCATATAATTTAATAGTTGCATTTAAAAACATAACGAAAGTTTTATAAATTATTCGTGAACACGATAGAGACTGACTTCGATTCAAGCAACAATTGTTTCGTGGAAGATCTTTGCTTATCTTTTCTCTTGTATCTTCTACATCCAAATGTAACCTTGACCTTTTTGAACAGTTAAAAAGAGTTAGATTTATACATTTAGTAATATGTCTGTGAAAACCAATTCAGAAATAAAAAAAATTACTGAATTCATTTATCCATTTCGTCAAATAATAAACTAAGATTAAATTTAAATTACATACTAAATTTCTCGTTTAAGAATTGCTAATAACATGTTTTATCGATATTTGACACGATTTCTAACCTAATAAAAAATAAATTCTTGAAAATAAATAATTGCCAACATGTTTCGTTGTTAAAAACGTTCTCGTGTTTTTTAACTCGTAATGCATATAGGTACATAAGGATCGAACGAAGTGGGATTTATTGCGTAAACGATTAGCATTTGCTATGTCACGACAGAGTTGTAAAATCTTCATGTATGAATTTTGTTTTCTGGTTCAATAAATGTCAAGAAAACAATGCAGAAACTCGACAGAGAATTAATTATTTATTCCGAGACCAAAATCGCGTAACAAATAAGTTGAATATAAATTTTTTACTGACAGATCAAAGGAAACGTGCAATTGACAATGTAATACTTTAAATATTATAATTACACATTGCTAAAGAAAAACTGATATGTCTGAATATCCACGTAAAACATATCTTGTCAACGATTAATGAAATTTTAACTGTTATAAATTGTGAAAATGATATTCTGGAATGAGGTTATATTTTCTAATCTTTAATCAATATAGATTCTTATTACATCGTTACAATTTATTTACTCATATAACTGACGATATTAGTAAATGATTGTTATGCTATCTTCGATATCAATTAATTAGTATGTACAATACAAAACTTGTATGATAAATTATTGATTAAACTTTTATTAAACATCAATAATATTTCCAATAGAAAATTTTTAAACAGATAAGGTTAGTTTGACATCGCAAGGTTCATGGAAATAAATAAACATAATGTAAAGTAACTTACAATTTACAGGTAAGATAGACGAATGTGAAAGTATAGTATTTTCTGAGAAGTCTTCACTGTCTGAGAGACTAGACAAGGAGTAGTCTACTTAAAAGCACAGGCACCTGAAAAAAACTACTTCACATTCTAAGCTTCAACGACGTTAACTGGTGTGAGGTATGGTTCGAAAATTATTGACGCGGTGTTGGAATTTAAATTATTGCACCCACTTTTATATAATTATCTTTCGGATAACAAAGTAAAAATTGTATGCAATAGGATCATGCCGGATTAATGTAAATTATTTTTAATCGTTCGTGAATTCAGTTTAAGCATTATAGGGCTGTTATGACGTATTCATGACGTGGCAGCAATACGTCATATCGTATGATTCTGATAACTGTATTTATGTACGTATCTACACATGAATTTTAGATTAACTATATACATAAAATTTTGTGCAAATTTAACGAATTAAATAAACACTGAAAATATATTTTTTAAATAAATCTTTGAAATTTGTTATACTATTTCTATAATTCGGAGGGTTCATTCATCGTTTTATCAAAATTTCGGGAAATCGAAATATTCTTCAAATACAATTAATTACTATTACTATTTTCTTTGGTTTTTCTCTGAGATACATATTTAATGACATATTTATACTTTTGAATTCTTAAAATAGACATTAATCATGCTACTGTAACCTTCTTCAAATATTAAATTTATTCTAACCACAGTTTCCATAGCACTTTGTAAGAAATTTTTGTATTTAATGCTACGATACAATACAAATCAAATTTACGAAGGATTTAATGGTACATATATATTTGTATAGAAAGGTAGGGAAGTTGTAAACGTATGAAGCACGAAAAACTTTATAATTTATAAAATATTTCGAAAATTGTCTTGCCTGTTTCTAGTAGCAATTAAAAAGATTGAATAAATTATATTACATACAAATATACTGTTGTAGAACAGTTTTAAACAAAAGAATGAAGTATATTATTTCATAATTCACATGTATGACTGAAATCTGTTAATGTTTATTGTTACTGTATGTACAAATATAAATAACCCATTACTCAGTACGTAAAATGTGCTTATTTCATGAAACAATACTTCTATGTAGATATAAAATGAACTGATAAAAAATAATACATATTTAGATCAATTAAGAAAGAAAGCTAGCTGATTATTATATTCTAGTGTCATACGACGGTAATATGTGTTAAAATATTTGATCATATTTATATTTCCAACAACATTATAAATGTGCTATAAATCTGAAATTCATATTGTTCAAAACAGTAATATCCACTTATTTAAGATATATTTTAATCTCATTGGTGAGAATTTTACTTTCTATAAGTTTGAAATGATATTTTGAAATAATGCAAATATTTCAAATTTTATTAGTAAAAAATTACTGCGTTATATTATTGCATTATAGTATCACGTTTTTCTTCTTTGCTGTGGACATTTTAAATTGGTATACACGATATAAGAAGTATCAAAAATCGTCTTTACATAAATTTTTGAATAATAAATATTCAAATTATTGCTCTTTGTATGATTATGCTCTGTTTTCCAACTTTGCAATAAGATCATGGACATTTTCTATAACACTGTATATATAAGGACGTTCCATTGGATTTACCTTTAACATTGATAAAATCAAATGTTGCATATCCTACAAAATTCAAAATTCAAATATCAGATCTAGAAGTTTTGATCGCACAAAACACATAATCAAGTATACACAATGACTTCACCTCATTGTAAGGAGCATTTTCTGGAAATGTAATATTTGCACTCATAACAGCCAAAGCAACACTATCTCCTCTTTCATATACAGCATCAAAAGGTGATTTAAAGTAACAGAGCGCATAGAGAATGCAGCCTAATGACTGAAATAATATAGTTTTAACGAAAATAGTATTACACAAAAGCATGTTTCAAGAATTCTATCAATATTTTACCCAAATATCTGTTCGTTCATCAACCATACAATAACTTTCAACGTTAAATAATTCTGGTGCTCTATATGGCATTGAACATCTTTCTGCTGCTAAATCTTGCAGCGTTTGTGCTGCTTGTGACCCACATACTTTAATTCTGGCTGGCGCTACAGAACCTACAAAAATCCATGTTCATTTATTAATGATCAACACAATAGGATTCAGATATTTATTTTCTATAGTAACCAAAATGTTGCACCTAAATCCATTATGATAGGTGTACTACCATCGCCAAGAACTATATTTGCAGTCTTTAGGTCTCTGTGAGCTAAAGGATCTGGTTTTGCTTCATGGAAAGCTTTTACACCTTCGCATATTTGTAAAAAAATATTTAAAATATCCAACGCACTCATATAATCATTGTTTTTAGCGCGTCTTTCTAATTCATTTGCGAGTGTGCCTTTCTAAAACCAGAAAATACTTTTTAATTTAGATAATATAAATTTTTAATTATCATTCACATTTAGGTTGCTTCAATTTAAGGTATAAAACTTACATGATAATATGGTAAAACAATTAACGCTTCGCTGGTTGCATTAATGACAGGGTCTGCTGTTCCTTTATATGTAGAATCAATACATTCTATTACATTCGGATGTTTCACAAGATTGTGATATTCTATTTCTTTTGCTGCTAATCTCTGATCTTCTAATCCATGGCAAATTATCTTTTTAATTGCATATTTTTTGTGTGTGATCGCATCTTCAGCTAGAAGTACAGTGCTGAATCCACTAAAATTGAAATTAATTTAAATAGAAAGCAAAATGAATTCATTGCACTCAAGGGACTTAACTTTCTTTTAACATGAATTATTTTTAAGTAGAATTTAAAAACATTATTATTAACTTTTTGTACAAAATAAACAAACTAGGTTAAATGAAATTAAAGTAAAATTATTTCATTAATAAAAGGGAAGACATAATGTAGATACCAAAATAAATGTCGATTTACGAAGTTTAAACGTAAACAAAAGTATTACAGTAACTTATACAAATTTCTTTTATATTAAACTTGCCCTTCTCCAAGATGTTCACGAACTGTATAATTTCTTGAATTTATCGTAATGGTTTCTTTAGAGCATATACAGCCCATTTTTAAAATTAAACTTAAACCGAGGCTGTTCATTTTGTGCCGTACATAGTAAAAGAATTGGATTAATGATACACCTGATACGTCTTTATTGGCGGGCAAACATTTTGACACACGTCACATATGCTACCATGAGGCAGTGTGATGTGATCAAATTTGGCATAATTGAGTCATGAGGTTCAGATTAAGTTAGATATTCGGTTATCAGCTGTTTGCAAACAATATTGGTGGTCATGTTATCCAAATTGTTTAAATCAAATATTTGCAGAAAATTTGTGCGTGGAAAAAATTGTCCTAACAGATGATATTAAATTACTTTAAATTATTTTCTCCAGACAAGTTACATAATAACACTGTAAGGTCCAAAACACTTTAAAATGTTTAAGAAATCGAATTTGAGATGAACAAATTGTACTCGTAATCTTTCAATATGGGTAAAGAAGATGCTTTCAAAGTAATATTTTCACTTTTGCTTAGTAATTTTTTCTTCTTAAATCAATTTCAATAATTAGGAATTTATAGTATATTTTTCGAAACATTGTTAGAAGTATATAATGTTTTAGCAAATACATCAAATTTACGAAATTATAAATATTATTATATAAATGTTAATACAAATATCAGTTGTTATATATAATAATGAATCTTAAGAAATTTATATGTCTATATAATATAATCATTATCATTTAATTATTTATATTACTAGGCAGTGTACATTCTTGTATGGATATTCATTGCAAGTTATTATTTTTGGGGTGCACGAGAGGTAACTGTAAGAGATCCTATTGATGAATCAGGTTGGGTACCAGACGGGGCATTTGCAAATAAAATTCAAACTTCGGATGTGCAACAAGCGGAAGATCCGTATGTGGAATAAAACTCTAAAATTCAGTCAATATCTCTTAATTATTATTTCCTAATACAATAGATGATACTATATAATTCTAACTAAACATATAATAAAAATTTGTATTTGAAATCAAACATGTAATTAATAAAAGGGTGAAATTTCTGCAAAAGATTATTATGTATATTATTCATGTGTATTAAAACGTAAAACTTTGATGTACGAAATATTAGTAGTATATATTTAATGTAAACACATACTAGATTACCTTATACATAGTAACTGTTTTATATTCTTTTAACTATAATGAGCTCTTTATACAACCATAAAATTAGTTATTATCGCATTTTTATTTCTCTGTGAATGTTAACAAGAAATCAAATATTTTAATAAATAAAATGTAATTAACAAGAACATTTAAACGACAAATGTATATCGTTTAATAAAATCGGATCACATTCTAAAAATTTATAATTTGTGGTACTCTTCAATAAGATATTCATGTATAGGAACAGGTACACACTTCTTTTTATTATGATTATTATACTCAACAAATGAGGTCTCTTTCTTCCAGAAAGCATTTAAGATGATGTTACATCGGGTTCTTGACTAATGTTACCATTTAATGTTTCATTAGACTCTTGATTATTCTGTAGCTGTGCTTGCCACATGGAATGATATACTCCATTATAAGAAATGAGTTCTTCGTGTTTGCCTCTTTCTACAATTTCTCCTTCTTTCAAGACGAGAATTTCATCAGCGTGTATTATTGTGGATAATCTGTGTGCTATGATAATAGTAGTTCGATTAACACAAACTCTGCTTAACGCTGCTTGAATGTTACGCTCTGTCTGAGTATCAAGTGCACTTGTTGCTTCATCTAAAAGCACAATTGCTGGTTCCTTCAATAATGTACGCGCAATAGCAACGCGTTGTTTTTCACCTCCACTTAAACGAAGTCCTCTTTCACCAACCTATGCAATTTCAATTAAATATTGTTAATTTTTAATTCATAATTAAATTAAATATAATCTGTCCCATTAATGAGTACTCACTTGTGATTCATAACCATTTGGAAATGAAAGAATTCGATCATGAATGTCTGCGTTTTTAGCTGCCGCTATTACATCTGCATCTACAGCTTCGGTGCGACCATATTGAATATTATATTTCACGGTGTTATTAAACAATACTGTATCTTGAGGTACAACACCTATTGCACGTCTTAAGGAATCTTGTTTAACTGTTTTAACATTCTGTCCATCTATAAAAATCGCACCATATTCTACATCATAAAATCTGAATAACAACCGCATAATAGTCGATTTTCCAGCTCCAGAAGGTCCAACCAGAGCTACAGTTTTTCCTGCTGGAGCAACAAAGCTAATATTTTTTAATATAATTTTCTCGGGAGTATAACTAAACGACACATTCGAGAATTCCACCTGACCACGTTTTACTATTAATGGTCCAGCACCTGGAGCATCAATTACTTCTTGTTTTTCTCTAAGAAGATCAAACATGTTATCCATGTCGACAAAATTCTTTTGTATAGCCCTAAAAATATACAAATTATCTTCAAATTAAGTTCTTAATTTAAAGCAAAAAGAACTAGCATAATTAATTACCGATAATATGTTCCAAACCAATTTAATGGCACATAAAGTTGAACAATGTAACTTGTGAATAAAACATAATCACCAAGTGTTAAACCTTGATTATTCACAACCTACAACCAATAAATTTATTAAACGTGTCTCTTTAATATTTCTCAAATGGACAAAATATAAATATTTTATATACTGACCATGTGCAAGCAAAGTAAAGACCCAGCCAACAAACCACTACAAACAATTACATTTTGTAAAGTATTTAAAATATTTAACGTAATTATTGTTTTCCATTCTTCTATTTGGAATTCTAATATTGATTTTTTATAACTATTCACTTCGTATGCTTCTGCTCCATAATATTTAACTGTTTCAAAATTAATTAAACTATCGACACTTCGTGCTCTTTGAGCATTATCTGCCAAGTTCATACGCCTTTGGAACTTAGTACGCCATTCAGTAACCATAATTGTAGCAGCTAAGATAAATATTGACAATTTATAAAATTTGAAAATGCCTTAATACTAATCAAAATATTGAATCATTGAAAAAGTAAAAATGTACAGTGTAATCACCTATGTAAAGTGCCATAGTTATGAATACAATTAAACCAAACCACTTATTGAAGGTACAAACGAAAAATACAATGGCCACAATAATGTCAACGATTGTTGGTACAATGGAGAAAAGAATGTAATTTAATAAGTTGTTTATAGAGTCTGTCCCACGATCCATAACTCTCAAAACTTCACCAGTTTTCCTTTCAAGATGCCAGCGTAAACTTAAACTATGTAAATGCCTGAGGAAATATATATGATAAAAGTAAATAGGGAATATAATTATAAATTAAACTAATCAGACTTACAAAAATAATATTAATATAAAATTCACCTGAACAATTCAACTTCAATTTCCCGAGTTGAATATTGTTGAATACGAATCCATAAGAATGATCTTAGATTATTCAGTAATCCCATGCCACCTGTGCCTCCACCTTGCAAGAATTTGAATACTACATATGTTAAAATAAGGTCCCACCTGTCACAGAGGTCAAACATTTCATTAATACAACATTTATGTGTATTTTATATGTTTTTCTTAAGAATATTTTGTACCTGAATGTTATAGGAGTTTCTTTAATACTGTCCACAATTTTTCCATTATAAATTTGGACGTACAAGTTTATGACACGTCCTAATATGAGTAATACAAAGCAAAACAAAACTCTTAGTTGAAGCATAAAACTTTTTTCAGGCCATAAAAATGGTGCGAAAACTTTTATCTTATACCAAGCATTCTTCCATGCAGAACTGGTATCATCGGGTCTCTGAAAATAATCATATTATCAATAGTTGTAGCATGTCCAAACAAATTAAGCAAATAATAAACATACAATTTTAGTTTTATTAAATTATCTACACACTGACATTTACTGTATGTGCATATACAGATAATTTGTTTCTTTTATATATCCTGGTTTGTTATTTTTATTCTAGTCGCATAATAAAATTATAGGACTCTCTGTAGCACAATAATGGCTACAAAATTTCTGTCAGATGAAAAACTATTTTGTTTAGGTGATAGTTAAAATTATATTTTTGGACTTACACCTTGATAATATCTTGATCGTGTAGTTGAGCCATCATTAAAAATATGATATTCACCATCTGTATTTCCAGGTATTCCTGGAGCTTTAAGTCCCAAGGCAAAGATGATAAGATTGCTCATGTAACGTAAAACGAATAGTACCATCTCAATTTGGTCCGTCAATCTGTAAATAGCACACACATACACATAGAAAATACCCCACTAGATACAGTCAGCAAGTATAGATCTCCAATTAAAAACATGAACTTAAGAACATACTCGTTTATGCATAATAACATAAGAAGTTTATTTTGAACTTACGTATTTAAATGAAACCACCATTCAAGTTTTCCAATGTTAATAAAGACAAGATTTTCAGTAGCAAATGCTAAAGTCCAAAAGCTCAACAAAACAAGACCATGACAACGTGTTGGCACACTTGGTAACAGATTGTGCCTTTCTACTCGCAATATGTACACGGAATATGGATAAACAATTACAGTTAATACTGTTGTGACAATCTAAAAGTATTATGGTAATTTATTAAGTACATGAAGGGTATCCCAGTTCTTTCCCACACAATTTTGTCAACATATTCTACAAACAAAATTTTAAAAACACCAGTTCCTTATCGCTTGTATTTTTGTTATAACTTCTTAATGAACTATTTAAAAGATTGTGTTTAAATAAGATTTTTTTCTTAATTTTGCTACTAGAATATGTTGGCAAAATTTTGTGGAGAAAAACTAGAATACTCTGTATATAGGTAAAGTGAAATTGTTACCATGTAGCCATAGACTCTTTTGTCATCTAAAACTGTTCCTTGTAGAATTATTCTTATTATACTAAGCATTGGAACAAAGTATAGAAGAATTTTTTGTATAACATATAATTTACTTTTGGGTAACAAAGCTGTAGTAATTTCTGTCCCATACTTTCTGTACGTCCAAAGTTGTATTGTACCAAAAATCAATAGAAACAATGAAATCACTGTAGTACTGATAGTATCCATGAAACATTTTGACACTCCATGATCTACCCAAATCTCGTTAAATGTTATGTTTGGAGGACAATAAGTCATTGTTGTATTCATTTTGAATCTTTCGAAGTTTAATTTTTAATGTACCGTCAAGAAGTTATTAAAAAGATATTTTTAAATAATATCTTCTTTGTTCTTTTTTCAATATTAGATTAAATATTATTTTATTATTCTTGGTACTTTTCCTGTTATTATATTATTTGTAATCGTTATTCTCATTTGCATGTTTGTTATATGAAATTTGATACTTTGATTAATTTATAATTAGGACATCTGAAAAATGATATAATACACATTAATAATATATTGTTGAAATATATGTGTTTTACTTACCAGTATACAACATATGAAACATTTATAAACTTATCTTTAAATGAATCTATGTTATCACAAGTAGTGTGATTATATAAGTTTCATTTATATTGTACTTACATCATAAAAATATAAATACTATATTTATAGAAATAACTTTTAATTAAAAAATTATAATATTTTCTGTTTAGTGTCGTTTATTAAATACGAGTAAATTTGTTAATTGTACACAATTAAATAAATATATACATTTTAGAACAAAGATTAATAAAAATTTAAAAAAATATTCTAATAAAATACTCTGTGATATCACAATTATAAATGAAATTGTTGCAAAACAACCTGTCTGCGTAATAGAAACTAACATAACATCGCGCTATAAAATACTAAAGAGAAATTGAAATAGAATAAATAACAGTTTAAAATTTCACTAGGAGAAAGTTAATGCTTTCATTACAATTTATTTGTAATACAAACCACTTGAAATAACTCGATCTTTTAATCTTTTTTCTAGAAATCTGCATCGTCATGCCTAATGTATAATTTGATTAGCGATTGTAATAATGTAATACCGTACGGGCATAAATAAATTTGAAACTAAAATCTAACCTAATATTGTTGTATGATTAGATGAAAATAATAAAAGCACCTTTACGACGAAAATGCAAGTTACGCCGAAGGAAACACTTTTTCATACGTTTAGAAAATTATCATTTTTAAATATACGAAATTTATATTATCACCTACGTCAGACTTCGTCAAACGCACAGTTTGACAGGTCACTTCAGATTGCTTGTCTTATGTATGCATGCACACAGTGTGGCCAGATCGGGCATAATTGAGTGCATCGAAATCGACAATAGTGACAACGAACTTCCTTAACGTCTAACGGAGTGGTGGGGATAGCAGGCATATACTAACGCACGAGCACCTGTACGTGAGCTCGGCACTTCGCACAACTTCGGGAAATCGATAAAGAACGCTAGTGTGAGTCTCTCCTTCTTGCTCTTGTAAAAGAGAAACAGCTGAAATACGACCTCGCAATAATCGGCATACGATTCCAAGTCTCGACTGCTTCAGCATTTTTACTTTCCGACTTATGTCAGGTATAAAGAACGTACCAAAATGAAAAAAAATTTCGAAAAGTTTTTCATTATGATACTTTCCTTCTACCTTACATAAGTTTGAAAGTTAAAATGCTGGGACAGTCGAGACTTAGAATCGTATGATGCCGATTATCGCGAGATCGTATTTCAGCTGTTTCTCTATCACAAGAGCAAGAAGGAAAGGCTCACACTAGCGTTCTCTATCGTTTTCCCGAAATTGTACGAAGTGCCGAGCTGACGTATATGTGGCTCGTGCGTTAGTATATGCCCGCTATCCCCACCACTCCGTTAGACGCTAAGAAAGTTCGTCGTCACTATTGTCGATTTCGATGCACTCAATTATGCCCGATGTAGTCACACCGCTCGCCACCTCCAGTAGGCGTCAAGGAAGTATCAAGAAACGTTTCTCGTCCACGCTATAGCCGAGCTTTGAGCCCCGAGAGCGTTGCTTCTATAGAGACAATACTGTATCTAGTTTTGATAAAAACGATAAACATAGAAAGAATGTTAAGAAGTATTGGTGGCTGCAATAAATAGAACAAAAAGAGTATATACAGTTACTCACAAAATTGAGCGTACACTTAGATTGACAATGAAAATTAACGGAGAAATAATTAAAAACGAACATATTCAAAAGTAAAAACACAATATATACTTTATTTGAATATTTTAATGCACAATTCTTTAAAAAAAACTTTAATAAAATGAATTATTTATGTATTTTGAACGAAAAATGTAAAAGTATACCTATTTTATCGTCACAAAATTGAGCGTACAGTTGATTAAATATTTAAAAACTGAGTATTTTAAAGTTTATTTTCTATTATCTTTGTTTGAAATTTCCTCAGTCGTATTTAGTTTACGTCACTGCGTTGCTATGTTACATTTGATCGTCGTTTGTCATTGTTACTAACAAAGTTTGCATCATGGTTTCAAGAAGATTTTTAAAACAAATTGGACGAATAATAGCTAGGACCCACACTGCCATACAGAAAATCATTAATAATTATAAATACAACGGTTCATTATGTGATAAAGTAGGATGTGAAAAAAAAAGTACTAAGCAAAGTTGATGAGCGGTATATGTATAGTAAGAAAAATTAAAGTTAATCCGAAAATTAGTATACCAAAACTGACGAAAGAAGTGTCATCAAGGATTAAAAAAACAATATCTACGGAAACCGTCTGTAGAGTACCACACGATAAAGGCTATCATGACAGGGTAGCGAGAAAAATACCTTACGTTATAAAAATACCTTAAATATGTTAATCGCAATGAAATTTTTTGGAATAGTGTAATATTTTTCGATGAAGTAAAAATTAATTTATTTAATTCGGATGGAAGAATAATTGTGTGGAGAAAATGAAATAAAGAATTTAACAATAACAATACGATTTCGATAGTAAAGCACGATGGAGGCTCCGTAATGCTATGGGGATGCATGGCAACAAATGGAGTTGACAATATCGAATTTATTGAAAGTACGATGGACGAGATGAAATATTTCCATGTTTTCAAAAAAAATTTTTAATTTTGAGCTAAAAATTTACAAATGCCCCCTACGTATTACTTCCAACAGGACAACGATTCTAAGCATACGTCGTACGTTGTTAAGGAATAGCTATTATACAACGTACCAAAGTTGTTAAATACTCCCCCACAATCACCGGATGTCAATCCAATTGAACACCTGTGGCAGGAATTGAAGTCAAAATTGAGTAATTATAGATTTACCAGTAAGGCAAATGCAAATGAAAAAATTACTGAAATATGGAAAAATGTTTCCAGTTCAACAACACAAAAATTAGTCGACTCGATGCCTAGCCATTTAAAGGCAATCATAAATGCTCAGGGTTACGCAACAAAATATTAAAATTGACTTTATTCGTTGTTTATGTATAATTCCATTCTTTTAACGCTCAATTTTGTGACGATAAAATAGGTGTACTTTTACATTTCTCGTTACATATACATAAACAATTCATCCTATTAAATTTTTCTTTAAAGGATTACCTATTAAAATATCTAAATAAAGTATATATTGTGTCTATATTTTTTAATATGTCCGTTTTTATTTATTTTACCGACAATTATCATTCCCAACCTAGGTGTACGCTTAATTTTGTGAGTAACTGTATACAGGATGTTCGGCTATCCCTGGGAAAAATTTACATGAGCGATTCTAGAAGCCAAAATAAGACGAAAATCGAGAATACTAATTAGTTGATGGAGGCTTCGTTACAAAGTTATTAACATCTAAAGTTCCGCCTATAGAATAGCAACCTGCATACAGCTGCGTTCGCGCGGAAGGTTGCGGCAGGCCAGTGCTAGTGGTTCTCACGCAGCATGAAAAATTCTACTTACCGACGTTATCGACAACCTTAGATTTTTGTCCACTTATGGGAACGCGAACACCTTACGTTGAATAAGATTCAACCTGTCTTATGAAAATCCAGAAGGGCATATTAAAACTCGCCCGACGAGATTTTCGCAGAGAAAGGGTGAATGCCAGTTCAATACACAATGTTGTGAACAAAAATCACCTACACGCGATCATACACGCCCCACGATTGTCAACAGTGTCCGCAAGTGTCTACAAATAATCCTTTCAGGTACTAACCGAGTTCCGAGTTACTTACGAATAGAAATGTTCTTAATTTTTCAAATACACATCAATTTAAAAATGTAAAAAAGAATTATAGGATAAATGAAATTTTCGCATCGATTTACATTCACGTCGAAGAATATAACGATACTAGCAGCTGACTCGGTGTGCCTCGTGGGTACATAACCTTGCTACAAACTGTAAGAACAATAGTTTTGAAAATTATGTGATTTTACTATTATAACATAAATTGTATATGTCTTAATTGGGTTGTTACATATCGCATAGTGATCCGTGTATGTGAAAGTGTATTTTTATGTAATTCAATTTATACTATAAAAAAACTGCTTCAAATATATATTACATTAAATTAACCTAAAGCTGAGAAACAAATAATTTATACGAACTAATTTACTTCCAGTACAAATCTATTTGATTACAAAATAATCAATCATGGCAAAGGGTCATAAACACATGAAGCATTTAAAGTCTGAAAAAGCTAAAGTGAAACTGAAAGCGAAAAAAACAAAGCAATTACCGAAGGGATTAAATGTCACGAATCCGACGTTCAAAGTTAAAAAAATTGTAATACGCGAACAATTGAAACGCCACAATGACACAGAAATTCTTAGTAAAAGAAAGCTTAATGTTAAAGTAATAATATAAATTATTAATTGGTATTACTTATTTTCTAGTCCATTATGTGTATGTATTTTTTTTTATCATGCATTCGTGTAATTTTTAGGATTTACTGTCACGCCTTCAACATCATAACTCAACAGTTCGACAAGATGCTGTAAGAGAACTGAAAGATATGTTGTCACAACATTCTTTAGATTTACTAAGTTCACAATTTGGATCTCTTCTGCAAGGCATTTGTGCATTATCGCTCGATAAAGAGAGAAACATAAGGCATGATTCCTTGAAAGTTTTGAGTTTAATCCTTAGTCCAGTATCTAATGATCAACTTAGTCCATATTGTGAAGTTTTGATTTCATATTTGAGATGTGCCATGACACATATAGATCCTCGTATTAAAGAAGATGCTCTGCTCTTCTTAGATGTACTTGTGCAAAATTGTAGTAATATCATGGCAAGAAACAGTAATAAAGTGCTGCCAAATTTTTTAGATATGATCTCTAGATTACATACCGAAATGAAACCTGGAAGACAATTAACAACAAGTTTAAATTCCAAAACTACTAATGTTAAATGGAGAATAAAAGTACTGGAACGACTTGCTTCTATGTTTAATTCTATTGTGAGCTTTTACAAATCACAACAAGCTGTTAATTTAAATGTGACTACACGTGTTGTGCATGTAAACAAAAGTATTAGATATATTCCTATTTATTTGAATACAAATTTTCAAAACTGTGAAATTGATTTTGAACAAAGCAACGTTTTAAAAGAAAGTACTGCAGAAAAAACTTTAGATGCGGAAGAACTTATGAAATACGTGGAAGTATTAATGCCTCTTATTTTTGATAGTTGGATGGAAGTTTGTCCAGATGAAAAAAATTTAGACAATTCTGCACTTTTGATTTCTACAGAAGCATTAGAATTATTGAAAAGTGCTGTAGAAATTATACAATCAATAATTGAGTGTATAAATATACTACATACTGAGTGTGATATAAATATGAAATATTGGTTTAAAAGCAATTTTCAGAATATTTTTATAAAAAATTTACTTTCAAAATTTCCTTATAATAAGTTAGCTGCAACTGGAAATTTGCTTTCATCAATACGAAATAGAAAACGTCAAGGAGATTTTTCTATAGAGGAATCATACGATATGTGCTTAGGACATAATCTAGGACTTTGCCATATTTATATATGGTTTACATCAATACATAACGATGATAGGGCCATATCTAAATTAAATAAAGATTATAGTACATCTGTAATTAAGTACTTAAATGGTATTAGAAAGTTCATATTGTTTTACATTAATAATGAGTCTTTGTGTGTTATAGCTTTGTATATAGTTTTTCTATTTCTTTTTTTATAGAAAAACTTGAAAACTGGTCAAGCGCAAATAGTATTGTATTACCACAGTTGATCAAGCTTTTGAGAACGTTATTCTTGAAAGCAAGTAAAATTTGGTACAGAAATCATTTTGATCTCGGTGAAACTCTACAATCAGTTGTAAATGCATGTTGTAATCAATCAAAGAAAGAAATGCAATTACAATTATTTTCTCTCATTAGTGATATTATGTTAGATCATACTTTACATGAATTACACAGGTAATTGCTTTCATTATTCTTCTTTGTAATTTTATCCCTGAATTCAAAACTTTATGATATATTACAGGGAATGCGCATTTAAGGAATTTATTTCAACTGTGCCGAAGCTTCTTTTAAAGCCAAAAATACATGAAAATACAATACAAATAATAAACAAAGTTGTGCTTCGTTACAGAAATTGGATTCAGGAGGAACTTGTAGCAAATCATAATGACATTTTAGGTAAATATTTGAAAACATTTATCTTTATTATTATATACGTATATGTAAATAATGTATTTACTATCTGTATTTCAGAAAATGCTAAAAAAATTGAAATTATTGGATCGGAAGATCAGAAACAATCTCGTCTTATGATATGTAATTTGTTTTATTTCTTAGATGCTCAAATCTTTTATTAAGTAAGAAATGTATTTGTTATAATAAATATAAATGTTACGTTAATATTTTTCGTGTATTATATCTAAAAGAAACACTATTTCACTTTATTAATAAATTAATGATTCTTGCAATAGGAAAATTTGAAAGACTTATCTAATACAATGCAGTCGTCAAAATCGTTAGATTAATATACTTCGACGGTTACTAAAAATATGTGACATTTTATCATATACATACAATAATTACAAATTTTAATCATCAATTATTTTGTACCATTTTGTAGTAAAATTCGTAAGTGATCTGAAAGTAATTCATAATACCTATCTACATACATATACTGGTATGATAATTGATTTCCTCTTCGTCAGCTATACATGTATATATTCGTCTTTATCAATTAAAGTTGAGGACTTTTAATTTCTAATAATGTATTAAATTTTCAAAACTTATCTTAAAATCTAGTTATTATGTTCGTGTTTTGTGTTGATTCGTCATCTACAAATGTATAATTATCAAATGCATACAATTTATTATTGTTTTTAGGTCTCTTATCATTAATAGTTTTTTTAATTTTATTTGCATAAGGCTGTTCTTGTGGATAGGTTACGTTAATGATATTTTCTACGCTTGGCGTTAACGGTAAAATGGGTAATTCATTATTAAGTTTCGGCCAACTTAAGTCATTTTTCAATTCATGCTCTACTCTTAAATACTTTTTTTTAGAATTTTCCGGCCTATAAAACTTTGATTTTAATATTTTTTCAATCATGTACTCTATCACGAATGTTTCAACAAAAACACAAACTACAAAGTTCGTTAGTGCAAGTGCCAAAATAATGATTTTCCAATCGTAAGCCGGAGGCACAAGTATTTCGAGCAAATTTATTATCCATTCTGCAGGATAGACCGTGATGTATGTACAGACGATGGTTAGTAAAATTATGGAAAATATAAATGCAACATTAGTGAAAATAGCTTTTCGATATGGCTTTCCCCGTGAAAATATTATTGCCATTGTTATGTATTGGAACATGGAGATACAATACACGGAATAGTTCTCGTAACATGCGTATTCATTTAAGTCGGTTTGAACGAATGGAACGAACCAAGAAAAAGTACGAACCGCATGATAAGCGATAGCTTGAAAAATAGTCATAATTAACATATGTACAGTCAAGGAGAAAATTGTTGTGAAACTTAAAAGACTAGTCATCGGGGGCTTTTTTACCAATTTCTTTTCATATGCTCGAGTTTTCCCGAAAAATGAGGCGAAGTTAACAATGAGGAATATATCAATGAAAAGAAACTCTAAATCCGATAGGTTTGAATCGATCGAGTAGAGAATAATTACTGACAAAAACTCTGTAAGGGAGTAAGTAACCATGAACTTAAAAATTCCGAAGGATGTTACCAGCGCAGCACGACCTTCTCTTATCACTTTTGGAACACAAGTGATGTCAGGTACCTTAGATGTAAACGGGCTTGCTACACTAAAAAAAAAAAGGTTTCGTTGAACATTAGTATCGAAGTATACGATGATTTAAAACTTAAGGTCGATTAGATCGGTAAAGCTAAGCATTGCAAAGGTCGTAGAATTGAACAGAATACAAATAAGTCAACCATTAAACTTTTTTTGTTACAAGATTAATTATAAAATAGCATCACAAAATTTATAGAAGTATTGTAAATCATAGGACTAAAAAAAGTAGACTTGGATCTATAAAACTTTAATTCAAAGAAAACAATAAGAGTAAAGTTAGCTAGGAGTTTTGTCACGTGCGGTAGGCAATGATATGGTTTATCAACGGTACAGGGTTATCCCCACCATATCGCTTTATCTCGCGTTTCATCGCTTAAATTTGTAAATACATGATCTCCCTTTGAATTAGCGGGACAAATTAACATATAGTGGTGGATAGAAATATAGGCATAGCATGCAATTTCACATACAAACATTTATAACTACTGAAGCAATTGTTTATATTAATTTTTGTTGCATATGCATATGTTTATTTATAACGTCTTACTGGTTTATATATAAAAACAAAACAATATACTTGTTTATACTTAAAATATGTTCTCATCATTTGGTGTCGTTTAATTTTGTCTTGACATCTTTTTGTATACATATGTATAAACAAATAAGGCTGTAAATAAAGATATATGCAATAAAAATTGTTATAAGCAATTATTTAAATAGGTATAAACGTTTATATGTGGAATTTGTACTGTACACAGTATGTCGGAAAAATAACGGAATTTTTTAAATTTAATGAAAACTGCTAATGCTATCTATTGTAACAATATGTAACAAGCTGTATATTTCCTCTACAAAACAAAAGCATCATTATTGGAATCGACTAACGGATTGTCAAGTTATAACGGTTGAAGTGGTAGTACCTTTTGTCACTTGGTCGCAGAAACACAATGGAACAAAGAGCAAATATTAAATGTTGTTTCAAGCTTGGGAAAACTTTTACAGAAACATTTGAATTGATGAAAAAAGTTTATGGTGATGATTGTTTATCCCGTACACGTGTGCTCGAATGGTATAAACGATTCCAGGACGGTCGTGATGCTTTTGAAGATGACCCAAAGCCAGGCCGGCCAAAAAAGAAAAATCGCGATGAGTTGGTGGAAAGAGTGCGTGAAATGATTACCTACGATGCGACTTGAAGTATGAGATGGATGGCAGAGGTATTAAATACGACTAAAGACATGATTCACGAAATTTTTACAAAGAACTTAAACAGACGGAAAGTCTGTGCTCGATTTGTTCCTCGCGCATTAAATGAGGACCAACAGATTGCTCGCGTTGAACATTGCAAGGATCTTATTAAAACAGCCAGACCGAACTGCACATTCCTGGAATCGATTGTGACTGGAGACGAGACTTGGAGCTTCAAGTACGATCCACAAACAAAGCGCCAAAGTGAAACGTGAAAGTTCCCAGACTTTTCGAAATCAAAAAAATTGCGATTCCAGAAGTCACGAGAGAAGACAATGTTGATCTGTTTTTATGATTATAAAGGTATTATATTTCGGGAATTCGTTCCACAGGGTCAAAATGTCAATGGTGAATATTATCTGGGTGTTATGGAGCGTTTGTGGGAAAAAAATCGTACGTTTTATGACAGTGTTACACAAGTTCAAGACGCGGTGACAAGAGTCATTGAGGCGATTCCGCAAAATGATATAAAAAAATCTATGCTGGCATTAGTTGAATGTGCCCAGCGATGTATTGATGCAGAAGGGATGTATTTTGAATAAAAAAAAATAATTTTGGCAAAATAACTAATTTTCTTCTTTTAATTTAAAAAGTTCCGTTATTTTTCCAACATACTGTGTACTTATACTTTTGTCTACCAGTGTAGCTTACAATTCAAAGTTGTTTTTGGGAAGCCAAAATGAGTGGCAAACTAAGTTTCATCCTATTATTATGTAAAAGTGGAACAATTTAATTGTTGTATTTTATAAACTTTACGGTTCTATGTTCACTCGAAATTTTTTTTAGTTTTAGAAGTGCCAAAGTGCTTTGATAGAGTGAATAGATTGTTTAGGCTGTAAAAAATCACTCTTTCATTTTTGTGTGATTTATCTTTTACAACAATTAAAATCTGCTACATTATGTTTTTCGTATATGCCTATTTTTTTAATGTAAATAAACTAGCATTTCTTTCGAAAGTCCACAAAGAAAAATACAATTAAAAAATCCTAATTTATTAAAATGTTCTTGGTGCTGAAATGTATTGTATTTTAACTGTTTTTGCCTTGATTACAAACTTGAAAACCTTGTATTATAAGCACCACATATACATATATGTTGGCGATATTATTAGACGGTGCTTTTAAATTGTTGTAAAAGAATTAAACCCGAAGAAAATGAAATAAAATTGTTGGGACCGGTATTCAAACTGGTTTTGATCAAAAGAGAGTACAGTCTAACTCTCTATTCACTCCACCAAAGCGTTTTCGTACTGCTAAGGTCACCGTTCACGATAGATAATGTGTTGGTGTTAACATTTTTTTGTTAAAAAGGATCATCTTCCGAACATTTGAATAAAATTTGATAAAAGAAATTACGACGGAAGCTATTCTTGTGAGTGTAAATGAATGAGATTGTTTGTTATTTGAGGACAGGGTATGAAGTGGAGCATATACTGCTATGATTAGTTTTTTTACTTTGGGCAAAAATGTTCATATGCAAATAAGTACATGTTCGCTATTATGTCCTGTAAGTTTTATAAAAATTAGGGACTTGAAGTTGATGACTTGTTCTTGTATTCATTTGGCACTACTAAAAGTTTTTCTAAAATCAACTTCGCTGCATGAAATTACAGTTTTAATTGTTTAGTATAAGTTTGAAATGTTACCTAGATTCTGCTTCGGATAAGGATACACCCACGTGCGCGGCTCTCAGAGCGCCGCAATCATTAGCGCCATCTCCGCACATGGCTGTAATGTTTATGAAACCTTTTTATAGCGGTCATTGTACGGCATAATTAAATATGATAAATGTTAGAAAATTGATGCATACCGACATAATAACCGAGTTGCATCAGCTCCAACACTAATTGTTGTTTCTGATCGCTGGTCATCCTCGCAAATATTGCACCGCGTACACATATCTTCGGTATAATGTCCGGATAATGTTCGCGCAACAACTGCCATGATTGACCCGTTAGCGCGAACCGATAATTACTAGTGCCTATATTTTGTTCTATATTTTGTAATTCTGTTATCCTGAGCGCTGTATCCCGAAGACTCTTGAAAAAAAGAGGGAAGCAATTATTACTATTTTTTTCCTATTAAATGTTAATTTTCGAAAATGATTATTGGTATTAGGAATGCCTATAAGTTGTCAGTCTTATTTAATAAATAAATTAACTTCAATTCGACTTAAGTTTCTGATACGTGAACACGTACTTTGTTATTCTATATTGTAAAATAAATTGTGGAATTGTTGTTTTGAACAAAAGGAAAAGTTTTTAATAGTCTAAAATAAAATAGCCGGTTACCAATCTTTAGAAGAACACATACGTAATTGTATGGCGTGATACATATCTGTGGGGAAGTTTTAAAGGTTTTGATTGGTGGTAATATTTTGGTACTGTATTAATTTAGCATGAGAGACTGGTAACATAATTTTAAAAAACATAACATAATTTTTTAGATTGTGCCTCTGTTTTGCAATTTTGTAACAATCGATTACGTATGAGTACCCCTAATTAAATAAAATTACCAATTTCGGAGATAATTCTTGAGCATTGAAATAAATCTCTGGTTGCAGCTGGTTTTCTTTCATAATTACAGTCACGTCTATCACAGATTCTTGCGCCGACAAAATGCCACACTCTTTTGCAACGCTTACTGCAGTTTGAATGTTGTCTCCTGAAATAACGTGTTTTAGCGCTATACGTAATATACGTACATAAATCATTTCGCTTTCTACTAGCGATAGATTGCTAAATCTCAAATTACCCGTGATCATCAAAACATGTATGTTGGCTGTCCTGAGATCCTTGATCACCGGTATAGTCGGTGCTTTCAATCTGTTTTCCATGATGACTAAACCTAAGAACTCAAGGTTCTGTTCGACCGCGTCTCGGGGCAGTTTCGTTATCTGCGTGTCAAAATGCAAACTATGAAAATGGAATGATTTACGACGAAAGCAATGTTGATTACGCACAGGCAGATTGCGATTAGTACGAATAGAATGTTTCTTAAAACGGTCGTATAAAGTATAAAGTCGAGTGATCGACCAATCTTATCGAACACACTTGGTAAAAAATGTCGTATATATTTTTAACATGTTCGCTGTCCACATAGTTTTTCAAGGTTGCTCCATTTTGCCAATATGTGTTTTTTACATTTTTAGACGAAATTAGGTACGGATTTTTGTTTGTATATATAAATTGTATCTTCTGTCAATTAAAAAGAATGTTCAATAGGATGGTTTTTAAACATGAACGATAGAAATCTTTTTTGTAAATTATTCTGGTATCGTTGCTTCGAATAGTTGTAATATATAACAAAATAATTTCTAAACAATATAAGCTCGAAGTTTAATATGCAAGCTAATAGATAAGAGTATATTTTTCATTTTTTTGTACGATACAAATGAGTTGAGAATTATCATCGAAGAAAATTATAATTTTGATCACCTTATTGCTAGTCTCGGTCAATACTGTTCGGCCCATAGCTATAACGCGATAACCTTGTTCCGTGTAGCGTTTTAAACAACACATGATATCTTTTGGGATAGTTTCTGGTTTACTCAGGCTAAGTATCATTTCGGGTGATCCTTTCGTGTAGGCTTTGAAAGTTTCCGATCCCAGTGTGCGTACTATCACAGACATTCGTTGTAGAGAGCTTGAAAATTGATACTGTTGCACTATCCCGATTTCAGATATTTCATTCATGTTCTCCATGAAACTAGTGCTCGACGGTGGTTTTACGATCGTTGATGCTACGGGGTCGTATTTGTTATCTGGTTCTCCTAATATCCATCCGGTACTTTCAAACATCTGCAAGTACATAAATGAAAATGATCGGGAACGTAAATTGTTTGTTTAACACATTGACTACCAAACGAATTTCGGACACATTTCTCTGTGGTCTGACCCCAAATTTCGTATCAATTTACTCGAAGATATATGATCATTGTTTTTTTTTTTAATGCAGATCGTTTGGTTGCGAGAGCAAGAGAAAATAAAAGAAATTGTTTTATTGTTATAAATATGTGGAAATAGAGTGATTTCCCCGCTAGTAGACTCGAAACGAATGTCGTCACTACAACGCTAAAAAAATAAATCGAAAATGTAGAATAATATCTTTTCATAACACTCTTTGTTTTCAAGAAATGACGTGGCACAGCCGATGTGTTAAACGATTGCTATAGTTCAAGCAGAGTCTAAGCTTTGTCAAGTACTTTAACATCTAGAGGATCTCCGCAGAGTTCACCGTCGATTAGAATCAAACTATGACAAACTAACATCCCCTCGAAAAGAGGATGGTTGTGCAATTTAGGAATGCTCCTTTCTGGTTCGTCGGGGACGCCATTCGTGCAAGGTACAATACCCCATATGTCTAAGCCATCTTCCGTTAAAGTCCCCGTCTGTAAAAGTGAATAAAATTCTTAACTTTGAGTTGAATAAATTTCAGAATCAAACGTACGCGGAAGCATCTACAGTAGATGAAATTTCCATAGTTACTAAACGATATACATATATTCTATCCTTCTTCATTTAACCGTAAAAATGTATGGCTTCTCCGTTTCACGGACCTCTCATTTGTTCTTGGATCTCTCACTCTGTGGTCGACTTCAAATAAGGAAGAGATGCTTATTAAAACTAAATAAATAAAAAAGATACTTATTGTATAAAAACAATTGCTTATTATGGATCAAGACTGTATTTCCTAACTACATACTACTTACACCTCGCAAATACGAACTATGTACTCGTTACTAAATGAAAGTAAACTTAAAGTTTCTTCTTCATTTGTACTAGAAAACATTGATGGAACTATGGAAATGTCATTCACTGTACACTCATTTTTTAATTGTATAATATTATGCACGTGAGATTCTCACCTTGTCGAAACACACGCAATTTATACTGCCGGATACATTAATGACTCTATTGTTAATGCAATATATTTGCGCTTTTTTCAATCTCGATTGAGCGTACAGCTTTCCCACTGTCATCGCAGCCGGCAATGCTGGAGGAATCACTATGGTGATTATATCTAACGCTTTTATAGCTATATCGCCAGCCGTGATCCCTCTGGAAGCCTACAGTGGCGTAGGAATCATTATTATATTGTAAAATGCGATTAAGTTAAATATTAGTTTTAGATGAATCGACGTCGAAACGCACCTTTGTTACGATAGTATATATGAAACCACAAGTGGCAATGAGCGCGAGTATGCCAATAAATTTGTAAGAATCCTGATCGAATTTAAAGTCAGCTGGTGGTGGATATAAGATGGCTGCAACTAATCCACCTTTGTTGGTGTGGAAGCCTGTTCGAATGACTCGCGCTAAAACTGGTTCATTGTCGTAACATCTAACAGAAAATGTGAATTAATGGCGACAAGGCCTATTGTATTTAAGGGGTTACATATACCTGGAACCTTGGAAAAACTTGTTTTTTACTTTTTGAAATTGTTTATATCACAATTTGTAACCCATTAGAAACTGATTAACTTTTGTTAAAAAAAATCGTGGCAACAGTTACATGCCATACTCTGTGTAAAGTTGAGCGAACCAGAGGGATAATAACGATTTTTCATCTTCCTGTTTCTCAGGTTGTCACCGATTACTGTAATTAAAAATAGTCCGAACGAGGTCGTGTTTGGACTCATTTTTATCGAGGAAACCTCGCTAATTTACCGATAATACTGTCATGAGAATGAAATTACATATACAAATTTTAATTTTCATTAATTCGGTTTCAGACTCGCTCGAACTGAAAAAACATAAACAACGGTAGGAATATTTTCGTTTCAGTTATTCAAAAACCATTATAATTAACGAAACTATAATCAAGTTTCAATGGCAAGAAATTGATTCCATGAAAACGAGTAATTTGTTGGAAAACAAACTTTCAAAGTTGCTTCATCTCTTTAACACTATTTCTACTGTATCTATTTCGACCAAAAGATAATTAATTGTGAAAATAATTGTTAATGGAAATTGAAAAATGATTAAACTTAGAAAATAATTTCAAGTTATCTTTGGTACAAAATATTGCTAATCATTCAGGTACATGTAACGCCTTAACGTCAATAAAAATTACACGTGGTACAGGTATCGCACCTGGTTTGAATAATGGTAGTGCCACTGTATATCGTGTGATGGGAACATTCTTTGGGATCGTACAAAACGTGACGCGATGGCAATGGGGTTTTCGTTACTGGCACAGACTCTCCTGAAATTGCAACAATAGGATTGCTGATACAAAGAACGGGAAAGTATTTGATATGGATTGTTGGTATCTTACCAGTCAGCATGGATTCGTTTAGTATGCATTGCCCTGTCAACAGTACCGCGTCGCATATAACGGTTGCTTGATGCTTGGGCAGTTCTATAATATCACCGGGCACCAAATCACTGCTGGGTATACTTTCTGAGACCGTCGAGCTTCTGTGCACGCGAACAGTTCCTACGGACGCGACTGTGCCACAAAGATTTAGTTGGTTCTGCAAAAAGAAAAGTTCACGTTTCGCTGTGAACAAGGATTCAGAGTAATCTCGAAGACGCAAATTGACGCTTTGAACCCGGCGTTCCACTGAAACTGTTGCTCACGAAAGTTAAACAGTTACCATTTCTATAATATCCATTTAATAAATTTTTCAATCTATCTTTTGTTATATTTTGTTTTATCACAGAAGAATATGTACTTTGTCCGATCTATTGCAATCGGTCAAATGATCGTTTGAAAAATCAACGACAATGTGCGTATTTGAGGTACGATCCGATTGTGAGTGAGGTTTGACAAAGAAAGTACTCGAAGTCAACTTTGGCAAACTGACAAAATTTTAGTTTCTGAAATTTGGAGTAAAATTGAAAATCCTGGTCATCGGTGATCGGCACTTTAAGTTTACAACATGTTTACGTTACAATTGTTTATAATGGAAGACACTTGTTACAGTTGCGTGAAACACTCTGTATTTGTAAGCAAGTGGGTGTGATACTTCGAAGAAACAAATACGAGGAACAAGAAAGATAAACGAGTTGTGCAGACGTTTTCCGCAAATTCTTATCTACTTTTGCGTCAAGGGCAGACACGATTGAGGAAAAGATATTTAATTACGTCCTGTGAGACCATTCGGAGCCGCTTACGTGATCATAATTTAAAATAACGGAGTACGATTAGAAACCTCTTCTATCAGAGTGACACATCAAGAAGAGAGACCGCTATATGCAAACGTCGATTAGAATCGGGAGAACGTAATTTTTCAGACAAAAATTAATTTTGATCACGACGTATAGGGTTTCTCAATAAGGGCGATAAAACTTTAAATTGTCATAGCCACCGTATTTGTTATTCACTTATTCGAGTTGTGTGACATTTCCATTTATTAGTGCTTTGTAAGTCATCATGGAGAGATTCACAGATGCTCCTTAAAAATATTAAAATTTATTATCAAAACTTTTATTCAATTCTTTATACGCTGGTAGATACCAACACTTTCTTTACCTTCTTAAGTACCCATATATTTTTATATATTGTTACGTTTTCAAACTGTAAATAAAGGGTATTTAATAGTAAAAAATATCGCTTAGATTCAAGTCCTCCTTTGACGGATAAAATGTTTGTTTCATTTTTTTCTTCTTGTTTGCATTTATTTATTGAAATTAATTACACCAGATATACGTTATATCGGCCACAAATAATTCTGTATTGTTTCTAACGAAATAAAAGTATGGAATATAATCGTACTATTTCTCGTGTACTTTGGATACAAAATAAATTATAGCATAAGTTTATTAAAAAAAAAATAGAAAACAAAAACTTTGCGAAAGGAAGACAGGACTAGCCTTATTATACACATTTTGTGAACTCATGTGATTTTGCCTGACGACCATGAACTAAATATTGAACTTTGATGAAGTTGCATTATTGTTATGCATTAGGAAATTCTTTTTTATTCATTTTACCTTTATAAATATGTAAGTTCTTTATTTTGCAAATTAATTAATACGTAGGTTCGGTTTTTTTTTTAAATTGTAATACGTAAAGTTTTTTCTTACAACCACAGGATTATATCTATTAATCTGTCCTAAAATGTTTTCAAGATATTCAGTTTCTGGAACAATGCTGAACACTGCAGCCTTTTGTTGACATTCGAGACAACGAGACGATTACCCAGTGCAAAACACTTGCCCATAGTAATTATCAGAAATACATAGTCACGTACGTCTTTTGCTAAAGTAAACACAGATAACGAATGATCTTGTTTCAAGGATTGTGTTCCTATTTCGATTCATCAAATATTCTTAGTTACACTTAACTTGTGATTCGATTCAACTCTCGTAAATATAGGATTATCATACTAGTGTTTATGCGCCATTTAAATAACACCGGGCTCAAAGCGCCAAAGAAAGATGGAAATGAGTTTTGTACCTTACGGGTTTGTATTATGGAACTTATGATCCCGAACAATGACATGCATATGATTGCTGCAGTATAGTACAAGTAGCCCTCTGCGAACCACACGCATAGCGTGAAGACTTGGAAAATGTAGAACGGATTTAGAACTTCCAGGAGCAGCAACACACCTACACTTTGCACCGGAACGATAATCTCGTTACTGCCGTACACGATGCGTCTGCAAGAACAAAATTATTTACTTGGTCACATTTTTGATCTTCTCAAACATTTCTTCAAACATACCAATAAAAAGTCCAGGGTCGATCGACTGTCGCATTCGTTTCAAATCTCAAAGGTCTTCAGTTACAATTTTTACACATAAAATGCACGGACACGCGTTTCTCGTATCTGAGCGGTTACTCGATCAATTATTTGTGATATGCACATAAATAACGTATACTAAGAATTACATCAATTAAATGCGCGTATCTCTGTAATGATGCTTTAGATTTCAAAATACTATATAACTTCTCGATTTTTCTTCGTACGAGGAATTGATCTTGCAAAAAGGCATTAGAAAGTAGTAGTAATCGGAAAAGACAATTTTAGTTTCTTTTTGGCACGTACTAGATTAAAAGACGTTAATTTATTTTCGTCTTAGACTAATTTAGACGTTCGTTATTATTCGATGCCATTAATTTGAGAAAATAAATACTACTATTTTCGGTTCGCTAATAAGAAAATTTTGTATCGTTTTAACAAAAATTAACGATAGAAGATTTAAGTGCTGTCTTTTTTGTTTATATCAGTTGCACTTATAATATTAAATATTTTTGTTTATAATTTTATAAGATTTATTCGGTATTTGAAGTAGAATAATTCAGGATGACAGTAACTGGGCCCTTTACTTATATTTATTTTATTTATCATCGTATCGTGACCCATTCCGAGCACGGTATTACAGAGTTAATATTTACGAATTGTTTTTAAAAGCTGACAGAAGACCATCATAATTGAAATTATTCTTTGTGCAGTTACGATTTAATAAATTATTGTATCGAAGTATGGAATGTTTTGGAAACAAAATATTCGTGAGTTTATCGTACCTAAGGTATTGCTTCTCTTTAGAAAGTCCTTGATTGCTACTGAGATGAAGGTCCGAGCATAAAGTGTACTTATCGAGGCCTACTAATCTTGCAAATGTGTTCTGCGTGATATCCCAGACGTAGCATTGCTTCTTGCACCAAAATGCTTTGTACTCGAGGACCTCACACTGCGTGCCATTCTCTAAATTGATTTTCAACTTTTTGCATCTGATCTTCTCAAGATCGTCGTTGTTTTTGCCCAAGCTTTTCGATATATCTTGCGTGCTAATAAAGAACAATCGAGTTTGCATGAAACCGGTTTGTTGACATCAAATATCATTAAATCGATAAAAAGCGTATAATTAAACTGACCTCAAGTTTCTAGCAGAAATAGTTTTTACTTCTTTCACGAAGTACGACTTGTATTTTCCTTGATAATTATCCTGTGTACATATTTACGTCAACGATTATCAATCAAATCGTTGGGATTAATTTATTCTGCACGGTGATTTCACTTTCACGCGGATTTATAGTTTTTATATGTATGCCAAGATATGTTAATTTTTAATTTCTTACAGTTCTGCTTATGAGTCACGTAAAAGTCTTCAATCGCCTGAGGTAATGCACATTTGTAACTATATTTTACGAGCTATATTGCCGTCTTTTCATACTAACTTCACTTTTAAATTTTTCGATTCGATAGACGTACGTTTTTTTAAAAGATACAAAACAATTTAATCTAAAACGTACTCTCCGTTATTACATAATAACCTTTTCCTATTTATTTGATAGTTTTAAAATAAAATAAGCACAAATAGGAGCTGCAGATTGTTTGAAAATCCCCCCAAAAGTTCATGATCCACTACCTGAACCGACAATTACTTCAACCCAATATTAACGATATCTGCATACGTTTTATCCAAATGTAATTGGAATTAATTGTTGGAAAGGTATAAATAAATAACAATTCTTACAGTTATGAGCAGTCTTGTTGCACGATTCAAAGGACATTTCTTGTGGGTCGCGTAAAGATGCAACTGAGGATACCAGTGGAAGAAAAGTCTGACCCATCCAATGGTCAGCACGTAAGAGATATAAATTAAGGCGTTTTTCAAACTACTCTTCTCGAATCCATAAACGCGCTGAAAGATGATATTAAATTTTGACACAATCAAAACATTCCGTTATAATTTGTTTTTATTTTTCAAGACACTCACCATATCCTCATCCTGGCCGGTGTGAATCTTTTGCCACTGAATTTCTGACGTTTGGTCATTCTTTACCCCTAAGTAAAGAAAACGAAATACATGAGCTCACTATATTGCATTATTATGAAAGGATTTTAAGTGGATTAAAGTGGCATAAGTTATTGGTTTTCTCTGTGCGTGATGATAGAAAAAGAAATATCGTCATACTTTTAATATTATTTTTCATTATTGAATGTTTGATACATCTTGCATTACGATGGAAAAATATTTTATAATACTGTGGAACACAAATGTTTAAATATCTCGAAACAAGAAATATATAACTTAGGCTACTTTTATAGTACCTTTTAAAACTTTTACGCAATGAAACTTCTTATAATTAGGATCGACAAAAGCAATTTGGACGGTTGGATAAAAAACATTGGGTATAAGTTTCTCAACGTTAACCGTAATCCATCGATTAACATAGATCAGTCTGGAAACGAATGAGTTTAATCGAGCCAATTTGTGTTTAATTAACAATTGATTTAAAAGCGTCACTGGCTGTTACGTAAACATATCGAGTCGCTTGAATCATCACGAAACACTGTATAAGTGTAACGTTTCGATGAATTAAATCAGTTATTAGATTCAAGTAGTTATTTTCGCGTTAAAAGCTGATAATTCCTTTGTAAACATTATCTCGTTAAATGACGATAACGGATGAATGTTATCGTGCCATCAGACGTGATTGCATCTTCAGCGAAAATATGGGTATGTATTTGTGTATGCTCGATGGAAGTTCAACCAGACAGATAATCATGGAACGTGCAAAACTGACTTCTCTTATCTTGGACAAACAGAAGTTCTTTCTTTTTAAGTTGTCTCTATTTCAGTGTCCACGCGAGCCTAAATTATTGACACTGCAATGTCGAAATCAAGATACACGAGTGAACATGTAGATTGAAGATTAACCAATCTTTACATAAACATTTTTTAGTACAATCTATATCTGCGTATTTTATTTTGTGCATTCAAATTCAGTTTCGTTCAACAGTCGGTAAGATTCGTCAAACAGTTACGAATTAATAAAAAAATTGCACGTAATTAACTGTAAATATACTAATCAAATGACAAATTGAAATTGAATATTCTATACAGTGTGTTCGGAAGAATTTTAATGAGAGAGTCTAGAGGCCAAAATAAGACGAAAATCAAGAATATCAATTTCTTGATTGAGGTTTCGTTAAAAAGTTATTAAGAAATTAAATTTAAAAATTTCAAATCATTCTGAAACATCATTTTTGGTTGCAGAGGTCGATTACAATCATTTTTAGTAATTACACATACCCCCGAAATCCTTCGCACTTTCGAGAAAAAAATTCCTGATCGAAAATATAATGTGAGGCCAGAAATGCATCCCCAAAATTTCATGCGAATTTTTAAAATGTCATAACTCCTGAATGGATTGGACAATTTTAATGTTTCAAATGGCAAACAACGCGTATTTTAGTGTAGAATATATAGAAATTCCAAAAATATCCGAAAAGTTGTTCCTTAACCCCGTAAAATGAGAAAAACCCCATAAAAATGGTTCAATTTTCAAACGGCCATAACTCCTACAATAGTGAACATATCTCATTGAAACTTTTTTTTAAAGTAGAGCTCATGGGTAACTACAAAAAAGTATTAGACAACTTTTCTGTAGGACGTCAAATAAAATTACTAAAAATAAAAAACGAATTTTTAAGAAAAATCGACAGTCGGCGAAATTGAAAAGATTCAAATCGTTCTGAAAAAATTATTTTCGGTTGTAGGGGTCAATTGCAATCATTTTTGGTGAATAGATATACCCTCGAAATCCAACGCAGTTTCGAGAAAAAAATTCAATAGGTAGACAAATTTTTCGGCAAAATTGAAAAATTTCAAATCATTTAAAAAAAATCATTTTCGGTTGCGGGGGTTAATTACAATTACTTTTGGTGAATAGACATACCACCGAAATCCTACCCACTTTCTAGAAACAAATTTAAGAAGGTGTGAAATTTTACGACGAAAAAAAAATTTCAAATCGTTCTGGAAAAATTATTTACGGTTGCGAGGGTCAATTACAATCAGTTTTGGTGAGTAGGCATACCCCCGAAATCCTACGCACTTTCGAGAAAAAAATTCTTTACCGAAAATATACTGTATGGCGGAAAATATTTTTATAACTTTTTAACGAAGCCACAATCAACAAATTAGTAACCTTGTTACTATCCATAGATACACTACCAACAAAAAATTTGAAAAACAATGGCTTGCACAGAGTTGCTGTTGAAGAGAAAACGAGTGCAACGACTTAATACACTGAGATTCGGGTGATCTTAATTTTCAAAATTTAGATTCGATTAATAGAAATGTTAATGGGAAAAATTATTTCATTTCGAGGAATGTACAATTTATTACTATATATTATTATCTTCTAGTGATATTTATCTATATGTATTATTAATATTTTCTGTTATCCGGGGTATACTTATAAGTTTATCTCTCAAGAAGTGTTTTATTACTCCTTTAGATTTTCGTAACAATCAACACGTAGATTAATCACTATTTTCGAATTATAGCTAAATTTTTAATACATTTTATACAATGTCATTTTTTTTCTATTTAAAGCTAAATTCATATAACATGCAAATCACAAAATAAGATTTCTGACAAACGATGACATAATAATATTTTTTCGTTGTACCATGTCGCGAATTCAGATAGAATATTCTTTAAGCTTCAACGGTTCGACTAGGTTATAGCATAGGTTAATTAACAGTTTTTCTTCGACCACTTCGAAAATGGTGAAGATGCCGTTAGTCACGTAGGCATGAGTCTTTTTTCAAGAAAAATGATCATAAATCATGTAACTATTGGTGCATGGAAATTCCTCACCATGTTTGCGTTAAAATTACTTTGTGACTTCTGCATTTTTTTACTATTTCTCACAATATTTTTATCGCTTAAAACGAACTTTAACAATGAAAGTTGAAACGTTGTATTTAAAATAAATAATTAAAAATTAATATATTTTTGGTGAAATAATTTTGTCCCCTTAGATTGCTAAAATATGTTATCTTGCTACATTCTTCAATAAGATAAATGTTTAAATCGTTTGTGGCAGTTTATCGAATATTTTGGTTCACTTCATCCTATAATTTTCGGTAGAATTCAGGTCAAAAATTTGTGTGGATGGTTGCAGAACGTTTATACAATGATATAATAACAATTTTTGCACAATTCGTACTTTGTGCTTTGCGTCGTTTTCTGAATAAAACTTAAATCTTTCTCTAATCTCTATGTTTGTATTATTTTTAGTTACTTTGTTGTTTAAAATATTAAAATATTTATTATTGTTTTAAGTGAAAATTTATTTATGATTATTGTTTCCGGTAGTATAGAAAGGAGATATTTGTCTTGTCAACAAACGATGTTCGTTTCACTGAGTCTTGCAAACAAACTGTGTTCGTACTGTAAACATTAAACAATGTCAAGATACAGTAAATGAATATTATAATTTTATACTAAACTTTTAAATTATTGGCGCTTATAGTTTTTTCACTTATTAACGAAGATTCTCTTTTAAGGACAATTATGACTCAGAAAGGATTTGATGAATTAATTATATTATCAATTCAATTGCTTTTATTGCAAAAATTGGATACGAAGAAGAATTGCAAAATTTGCAACCGTAAAGGCTCGAAAAATTCTATTTTAGGGCATAATCTCGTAGAAATTACGTGTTTGCTTATTTAGTTTCTCTATAAAAAGCTTTCGATCGAGTTTTATAATTTGTTATTATTTAACCCTTAAGTGGATTATTAGGACCGTTGCGGCCCTTCGCAAGTATAAACTAATAATTGTTTAATATATGTATGTCAATGTAATTATTTGAAAATTTATGTAATCCTTCATCAGTTCATTATTTTTTAAATGTTGAGTTCCATTTACCAATTTGGTAAAAATTAATATTAAGTAAAATAATTCAGTTGAGATTGAGAGTCCACTTAAGGGTTAATTAATAATAATATAACATTAAATATTTCGAGTTTCATGAATTGCTCGTTCAACCCAATATACAGTGCGTAACAAAAAGTTGTACGCACCCACTTTTTTTCGATTATCTAACGAACGAGTTGTGATCCATGGATGAAACTTTTATATAATAAAGAGCATCTAAAAACACCTATTCTTATTATTTGTATCATCCGAATTGGAGCACACGTTCCCGAGTTGTGCAGCCGGAACAGTTTTCGGCTGGAACGAAAAGTTGTACGCACTTAATAAAAAATTAATTTAGTAATATATAAGACGCATTTTATTGATGGATACAGTGTTTTAATAATTAATGGGACCTCCTTTATTTTCTAATACTAAAAGGAGTCTCCTCGGAACACTTTGGATCAGTTTTTTGAGGACTTCCGGTGTGATCTCGTTCCAAGCGTCGATTATTGCGTCCTGTAGGCCAGCAATGGTTTCGAATTGTCGATGATCCTTATACACATCTCTGGCTATAATTCCCCAAACATCTCAATAATATTCAGGTCCGGACTTATAGCCGGCCACTCCAAAACCGCGATATTCTGGTCCGCGAAAAACTTTTGGGTCTCTTTCGAACGGTGAATAGCGGCATTATCTTGCTGAAAAGTATCTCCATCATCCATATGAGGCAAAAGGAATACTTCAAGAGTGCGAATGTAGTCCTTCGAAGCCTGTCGACCGCTTAGAAATGCAATCCGCGATTTCTTCCCGAGTTTGAACGCGTCCCAAATCATAACACTTCCTCCGCCGACTTGCCGTCTGACCTTCCGGGGTTGTTCCTTCCTGGTATCCTGCCAGCAGTAGTCCCATCTATCAGGACCATCCAGATTGAACTTCTTTTCATCGGACCACCACACATTATTCCATTCGGACGTCCACGCATGGTATTTCCGTGCGAACTCCAACCTGGCTTCTTTATGATGCGATTTCATTCTTGGTTTTCTGGTGATTTTCCGATATTTGATATTGGAATCTTCAACTAATCTTCTTCTAATAGTTGTATGGGATACCTCGTTCTTCAGTTCCGCGGAAATCCGGCGTGTAGACATCTTCCCGTCCGTGGCCAGCTTCTTGATCCTCCGAAGTGATCGCTCATCCAACTTTCTTGGACGCCCTGGAGACTTCTTCTTTCCATAATTTTCACGTAATCTGATGAGGTTTCTAATTACTCCATCAGATCTACCAAGTTCTCTTCCAATTTGTCTCATTGACTGTCCGCGACCGTACATTTCCCATGCACGGTTCTGCTCCTCCACGGATAATTTCGCACCACTTCCCATCGTTGTAGAATCAGAACTACGAGCGTCGATATCGCAACGACAAAAGACGAGTGACGATATTGTAACGACAAAAGACGTTCGTCTATTTCCAGTCTGATTCTACAACAATGTTTTATTAAGTGCGTACAACTTTTCGTTCCAGCCGAAAACTGTTCCGACTGCACAACTCGGGAACATGTGCTCCAATTTGGATGATACAAATAATAAGAATGTGTGTTTTTAGATGCTCTTTATTGTATAAAAGTTTCATCCATGGATCACAACTCGTTCCTTAGATAATCGAAAAAAAGTGGGTGCGTACAACTTTTTGTTACGCACTGTAATATGTTATATTCGTTTTTAAAGAAAAATTGAAAACAAAAATTTGTATGTACTATACATACATATTTGTATCTTTAACGAATAATTTTGATGTAGAAACTTATTTTTGGAATACATTAAAGTGGTTTAATCCCTATGATGTGATCTGCCTACCAAAATTTAAATTAAATTATCAAAATATGTTAAACATCTACCAGAAGTCTTATTTCCAATGCATTCAAACTGCCAAGCTTTCTTATTTTTTATTATGATGATGGTGCAATTAATCGCAGCCGTTTTACAAACAATACCTACAAGGTGTTTCACATCGATGTCTTGCCTAGGTCTGTCGTTTCACTGCATGTAAATTCGATTGAGAATGCCTAGATACGATTGTTAAAGAGGTTTATGAGAATGTTCCACAATTTGCGAACATAAGGGGCTTGGATAGAACCAGCGTACAGTAAACTTGTGGAAACCATTAAGATTCTTGTAAATAGTATAAATCACTTGTATCGAGTTATTCATAGTAATGGTTATGTAATCAATTACTGTTGATGTTCATTTATTATTATTTGTTATCTGATTTATTGTAACATATGGTCTTAATATGTGAAACGTTTAAGCGATATAATTTTCATAAAACATACAAGAAACGTAAACGAAAAATTCTAAAATTTGGTTAATTATACTGTTTTAGATAACACAACTTTTTAGGCAAAAGATGTAGTCATAATTCACAAAAATAGGAATGGATCTACAATTTGGCAAGACACTGTACAGGCCTGCTTATCCATTTTATTATTTATTATTTTGTTTGTTTTTATTATGCGAACTTTTGCCACTCGTATATCATTCATGTTTTAGAGTACATATTTTACACTTAAATAGGTGATACAAAGGTTTTCCACTCTTCTTGTAAGAACAATTGACTGTACAGATTTTAACATCATTTTATCAAGAAAATGTTTTACCTCGAACAATTGTAACAATGTTGTTATCCACGAAAGTACGACTGCTCAAAGCTCTTGTGTTTAGGGGGGCGAGCACCTAAAAATGTCAACTTTCGAGGATAAAAAATATCACATTATTAAGGCTCAAAATGTATTTACTGTATGACGTATATACAATCAGTTGGTAACATCGTTGGAACGCTTACTTTTTGTTAAAATACTGTTAGAATAGGCTAAAAGTGTATATGAGTCGACAACAGTACTATTTTATCTAATAAAGCTTAACCGATCAGGGATCGAGCGCAAAATACAATATACATATTTGAAGGTCGAGCAATAAACGTTCTCTTCCTGTACAGGGTGTTACTAAATTGTATGTCACGAGTCCATAGGTGGCTTCTACACCCTTGATTTGGTGGAAATTAACGTAAGGAGGGAGCCGCAAAATTGACCTCAATAGAGTTTTTCAAGGCCAACAATTTTTTTTGATTATACTGTATTCTATTCATTATGAGGATGAAAAATCTGCAAAGAATCCTGACAAATTATGTTAAAGTTTCATTATAAAGCATCTCTGCTTGTCTGATATTACTTAAACGACCGTGTCTATTGAATAAAATACCTCTGCAGTTTTGTCAACTAGATACTGTACTGTAATATAAAATGATACATTTTTATATTCATTGTATATGTAATCTTGAAAACATGTATTTATTCATATTTATTATATATAATATGAATTTCATTAATGTATTAAATTATATATTTATAAAAATATCGTGTTGTTTACATGATTATTTTCTTTGATTAAAATAATATTAAGCGATGGGTCCGAAAATACTATAATGGAGCAGCCTCTGTTAATTTCAAGCGTTATCGTAACCTCGAGAAAGACAATGCCCTGCGTTAGACAAGGTCGTGCAAGGTCATTCTGCCAATTAAAGCAAATTTTTCTATTTAATCTGAAGGGCATCGTACGAAGCATTCACATTACGGTGAACCCATTAGCTATATGCATTGAACTAATTAACAAAATTACTTTATACGACCTTCTATTACAAGCTACTATTTCCGTGTTGCCTGAAGCGACAGTTTCATTCAAGAACAAGCTGAAGAAATAGCAACAATGTTTCAACACCGTCCGTTTATTTCTTTTTGTGACCGAACATATGTAGGTTTACGACTTTTTGGTGTCGTCCCGTGGATCGTAAACTCGTCTGAAATCATTTTCTCGAGCCAGAGAAGTGCTTCGGAACGTTCCACGTCGCTAATCGATACGAGTGTAACGATACAAATATTTCAAACAAGCGGCACTCACCATTGGATGTTGTCATAACTCCAGTCTTTTGCTGCTGAAATCCGACCGAGTTTCTGGCGTTATTCCCTCAGAGTTGAGTCACCGTCAAATGAGAATTTCCACTTGCACGATCCGATGCTGAAATCAAACGGGATAAGCTTTTATGAGCAAACGAGTCGAAGCTTGATTGCCGGATCTCTCCGCGAAATAGTGAAGCTTCGCCGTAGACGAGAAGCGTAGAACACGCAAAGTTCACCTTTAAGCGCTCGTCAAATAAGGAACAGGTGATTAGGTTTCTTGATGGGCTCATTCTGTGAAAGAAGATACGGCCTGGACAGACGTCAAATAGGTGGTTCGACAATGAACGTGATCACGGTGACCATGCACTTGAATTACATAGTCGACACAATAAATTATTGGCGACTCAAGTGGCAAAATTACAGCGAGCAACGTAGCCTTGCTGAATCATGTGATCCTATTCAAGTTTTCGATCGAGCGTGGGTGAATTGAGACTTGACAATAAGACAATTGTCTCTTGCTGACATTGGCAGGCAATGATTAAAACAACGTACCTTTCGACGATACTTTGTTCTTGGCGGATCGTTCTTTCATTTCTAACAAGTTCTCCAATAGGAGCAACTGAACTTTGAATCGAAATAAAATAAAAACTACAAAATATAATTATGTGCACATTGTTTTATACTTATGTGCATTTGATGACATTTAAATGGCCATCATAATTACATTTAGTGGAGTGAATACGATAAAACTAATTTTCAATTACTGTGGCACATAAATCAAGCTGCATTTCGCCAATAACACGAATGATATTTATTTTGAGATCGTCAACAGTTTGTAGATATTGGAATAAGTTAGAGATTTAGTGATGTCCCCATAAGAAAAAGTCAGTTGGTGGTCAGTTAACACGTATTTCTCCAAATAATCTTGTCATTGAATTTCAACTTTTTATAAGTACAATGGTTGCTCGATCATCGACCGAAGATTAGCGTCTCCCCAAATTCAATAATGTTGCTTATTGACAAAGTCATCCATCCAAAAGTAGACTTCGTCGCTGAAGATGACTTTTTTGGCAAAATCAGGATTGATTTAGATTTGCTCTAAAGCTCAGTCAATGAACTCACGACGCATACGACGCTATGGTCGGATTCTTAAATTAACTGGATTTAAGTCTTTACGTACAATTTACCACGCGGAAGTCTGAAGAATGCTTAATGCTTAAGAACGTCGTGGAATCAATAATTTGACATCTCATGCGATGTATTTTGTTAGTAACTACATTCACAACAGTACACGAACGAATGGATATGACTGCGTCACATTAATATTAACATATAAATATTAAAACGGCGATTTCGTGATTTTGCCATGCATTAAAAGACCATTCTTACCTCGCGGGTCGTACAATTACAAACGGCGGGCCGGATCTGGCCCGCGGGCCGTAGTCTGCCAACCCCTGATCTAGATTAATACCCTTCGAAACGTGACTTTTATTAGATTACGTTTCATAAATTCTTTACCTGAAAGAAATTAAAAAGATATCGTAATAACATTTGTTCCACTTTTTGACAATGTAAGATTTTTTGACAGGAGATATAGTAAAAAATGTCTGATTTTTTAGACAGGGTGTCTGATTTTAATCTATGAATGCGAATTTCTCGTAAACTACCAGTTGTATAAAAAATGATTCGCACAGGAATTGAATGGTTTCAAGAGGGCCATAATCTAGGGTAATTAGTTTTCCTCTAGATGGATGAGTAGAGATATGATGACATACGTTTTCTTACATAGAATCGTGTAATTTTTAATTCACTGATGGATGCAAATCGTTATTCCTTAGATAAAGTATTAAGATATTAATGTCAGAAAATGATTAATTTAGGAGATATTTTAATCTCAATATTGTAGATTGATAAATATTTATTAATAGTATTGACCACAAAGCAATACCGGAATTTATAGTAAGAAACAGTAATTATTTTTTTTAATATAGAAAACTTCATTAAAAAACCTTCGCCAGCATTAAAACTATCCTTTCACAAATACTCATTCCTTTTTTCTTTTTTAATAAGTCTTGCATGTGTTTTTTGCAGGCCTCCGTGAAATCGAGGTTCTTTCCAGCATCTAAGTTTTATGGAGATTGAAACAAGCGATAATTCGAAGGCATAAATTAAGCAAACATGGCAATGGTTGAGATCATTCCAATTCATTTCCCATAATTTTTAACGAGTTCACGAAAATACGCGTTTCGCATTGTTTGTGTGAAAAATTATTTTATTTCTATTGGCTAGTTCTGGCCGTTTTTCGTTTTTTTCTGAATATTTGTTATTGGGTACTCTAATTGGAAACAATCATTGTTGAAATTGTAATTAATGGTTTGATTAGATTACAGAAGTTCATAATTCTTGGAGTGTATACCTGCTTTGGGATTGGTATTAATTAGATATTTGCACTAGATTAAACAGCATTGGATTAACTATTCTATTATCGTGTTCTTTTTGTCTATTATTATAAACAATTTATCTACCTTCACCCGTGAGGTAACTCAATAGTTCAGTCAAAAAATGGTCCATTATCATAGAGTTTCAGAAAAGAATTTTAAACTAAAATTCGATCAACTAAATTTCTTTTACTCAAATTATACAGACTCCAAACATCACATTTAGAAACCATATGGTACTATAAAGAAATTATATAGTATATACTAAGTTAATGTAAATGATTTTCAATGTTATACTACAATATTTTCAATTTTTCAGAAATCTCAGTTGTTATGAAACGTCAATTATATTCAATTACAAAGAATTTATAGTCATTATCATCCTTGAACAGTCTATTAGAGCAATTATCATCGTCCACACTAAAATCTTCAATATGAAATTTTTTAAACCATCTATAATTCTTCCGTTTACAGCACTATTCTAGGAAATATTTTTTGTTATTTGTATCACATTTTTCTCATTGTACAAATAAAAAATCATAATTATGTAAACAAAGTGCATGAAATGTTATTCAAATTGAACAAGAATTTTTACAATTACTTCGACTCTAACTCTTCCTACTGAAGAATTATGAATTAGAAATGGCATGGGTCTTGAACAAGTGAATAACAAATCTGATGTTTGTAACAATTGAAAGATCTATCGTTCGTATTAGAAGATTCTATGTATTATTATTGTTAATATGGCAAATATTTGTATTATAAATCTACGTACGTTTAAAGACACGACCTGCGTTCTTTCAGTAAATAAAAATGAATTCTTGTTGTATCAGACGCGTGATCAAATATTTTCGTCCGGTAGACATACTTTGATCCCAAATATTTATAAAAGAAAAACCAATCTAAATAAAACCAGTTTCGCGTATATGTGCAAAATTTGTATGCGAATTACGCGAACGGTAAAGTGTTAAAGTAGTTAATATAAATTTGTTTGAGTTTAATGATGACGACAGCCATAACATGATCCCCGAAGGCACGTGCTTCTTTTGCCCCTTGTTAGGATCACAGTTGAACTAAAACTGTTCATCTATCTGGCTATTGTATTTTTTCTGTTGTATACTGGCATGTATTTAGTCTTTTAATACTCCTACGGACAAAGGGAGCATTCAATTACAATAGCTTTTACACCTGTGTTAACCAATGCTGCTTGATCGTGCCAGGTCGTGTGCACGAGATTACTGATGTTAATTAAACATATATAAAAGCTATCAAAACTTTTGCACGCATCAAATATACGTATACGTAAATGACAAATATGGTAAATACGAACATAATGTATGGCCCTGTCATGTATGAACAATACCTGGATAAATGAAGAGGGTAAGATAGCCAAGAGTAAAATATCTTCAGGATTGTGTTTGGATGCAAGGAAGTCATTTTGAGCTCCTACTGCGAAGATAAGCAAATACAGTGTGTTAAAACTCCAAAACAAAGACCAGAACATGTGTTTTTTAAAACGTTTTTCATTATCTTCATACGCAGAAACCATTGCTAAAACGATTTCCACATGCTACGAGACACTCTGTACACCAGTGGATGAATACAGAAATATCTATATCGGTGTTTTAAGCCCACTGTTCGTATTCCTAATAAAATTTTACCACTTGGATAATAAAATCAATACACGAATTATACAACGCCGTTTATGTGAATTTAATTTGTGTTGAAGAGTGATAGAGAACAGATCATTGGTACTTGAAATAGTTCGCGAAATACCATATCAGTTGGACAGAAAAACAGCGGTCAAAACTATCTCTTCCCGTTTAAGAGTTCTAGCCCAACTCGGTTGTACAAAATACAACGTATATGTATATGTATAGGGTGTTCATCCTCCCCTGGGAAAAATTTTAATAGGGGATTCTAGAGGCCAAAATAAGACGAAAATCAAGGATAGTAATTTGTTGATTGAAGCTTCGTTAAAAAGTTATAAAAACATTTCCGTCCACACAGTATATTTTCGGTAAAGAATTTTTTTCTCGAAAGTACGTAAGATTTCGGGAATATGTGTATTCACCAAAAATGATTGTAATTGATCACCGCAACTGAAAATAATTTTTTTAGAACAATTTGAAATTTTTCTTCAAAATTTGAAATCGAAATGTCGATTTTTCTTAAAAATTTGTTTTTAATTTTTAGTAATTTTGTTTGACGCTTACAGAAAAGTTGTCTAATACTTTGTTGTAAGTATCCATAAGCTCTACTTCCATACTTTTCATTGAGATACGTTCACTATTGTAGAAGTTATGGAAGTTTGTAGATTAGGCCATTTTTATGAGGTTTTTCTCACTTCACGGTGTTAAGGAACACTTTTTCAAATATTCTTGGAATTTCTACATATTCTTCACTAAAATACGCGTTGTTTGTCTTTTGAAACATTAAAATCCTCCAATCCGCTCAGAAGTTATGATATTTTAAACATTTACATGAAATTTCGAGAAAGCATTTCTGGCCAGAAATTATATTTTAAAGAAATGAAGGTGATCTTGATTTTTTTGCAATAAAAAAATGTTTTGATAATTTTTATATTGCAATTTGTAGCTAACCATTGATTAATTTTTGTTTGGTAAATTTTTCTGTCATACCGACAGAAGTGCTCGAAAAATTGTAGCGACATTTATGTGAGACACCCTGTATAATATTATCAATAAGAGAATATAATGTTGAGAAATATTCGTAAGTATGTGCTCGTCGCTATAGGTGTATCTACATTTTTAGATTATCACTGTCTCCCTTTCATTAGATAAATATCAAGTTTCACATTCTCGTGGAACAGACTGTATGTACTATAAATTTTGCATGATTTTTTTTTAACAGTTTAATCGACTACCTTAAAAGTAATTAGAATTTCGAGAGATCTGCGCAAATCCTTACGAATGGTACCTGTAAAATGACGTAACATCGCGTCGAGTCGTTTCCAATTGACGCCGCAAACGTTCTCCATTTACTTTCATTATTAGTATAAATTTGAAGTATTGACGAAGTCGCGCGCATATAGTTTCCATGTAAAACGTTTAGGCTACCGAGGCACTTTTTTCTGTTATCTGATCCAGCTCAAGTTGTACAGGAATTATTTGTTATGTATTCGAACCACTCTAAAGCCTGAAACTAAATAAATCCCGAGGCTGAAAAACGAGGACAAAATAAAACGAAAGTGAAGCGTGATGAAATTGCGTTTGCAACGTTTTTGCTTGTCTTATTAAAGAAGATATTGTAATTGAGACAAATTTTGAAAAAATATTTTGTTCGGAAGAATACGTTTTAAAAAAGAAACGATACGAAAATTTATAGTTCTCTGTTTATTTCGAAGCGAAATGGTTAACTTGCGTAATTCGCTCAACCTCGTGCAATTTCTTTGTCTAGAAGTAGATAGTACGTTTGATTGGCGACGAGGTGAACATGTTCAGAATTTTCTGCGAAAGCATCGCATCTGTGCGTAGAAAGTATTCCATCGTTGATAAATAGATCGAACGTAATGGTATTTTCAACGCGCATTCAAGGTTCCGAATCGAATACGCGCAACTTCTCGACAAACATATGGTAACGATAATCGTTCTATCGCAGATCGAATTTACGATAACTCGGAAAAGTTGCATCACTGATTTTTCCTCCCGATATCATTCTAACGTGAACTGGTTGAAGAGCAAGATAAAAAAGAATTGAAATATGTAAGCACACACATCGCAGAGATTAATTCTTGGATATCATACACTTACAAAATCTACGTCGAAGATACGCCCTGGATCCTAACATTCGTATTGTACGAAAAGTAAGGTGGCTGTGTAAACAATAACATTATTGCCACAAAATGAAAGGAAAGTTAAAAGGATATCTAAGAGGTACTACAACTTCTCTGCGATAGACAAAAATAATATCTCTCGAGTTCTCAGGTATTCGTTCCAGGTATTCATATAGAATTCGTACCAGTTACGGATTAAACTGCGTAATACACGTTCGCATTCCTATATTGCACTAATTGCAGTAATTTTTCATGACAATTAGGCCAGTTGTCTGCGTCATCTATCGTCGTGCAAAAAACAATTGGTGCCCAACAATAATAACCGTCGTCACTTTCGTGCTTTAAGTTATGCTTTTCCACATCGAAGAGATAGCTAATGATTAAGAAGTCACTGGTTCACCTTTTTCTAGTTACAATGCCACCAGCAATCTTTCGTTATATAACAAAACGAATCGACGATCGAGACACGGGTGATAAAGATGTTGTGGCGCGGTGAGAACGAAAACTTGTAAGAATCGACGGGTCGGCTTCGAGAACCGATTAATAGAGCGTGCACGTTACAAAAGCGACGCGTGTAAGAGGGTAAAAATATTGGTCTTGGCGTGTTTTTGTTATTCGCTAAAAGTATCGGTTTTACGTAATTTCCATTCTGTTGTGAAATGTGTGTCGCGAGACCACCTAGATTTAACCGCGTGTAGCGTCGTTAGAAATGCAACTCGCGCTTCTACACTTTTAGGTAAAGGTTGTTGCGTAATCGCGATTCCTGCGACTTTGGATCGACCGTAACTCGTTATTTCGTAAAGATCGGTGATCTGTAAACAAAAAAAAAGGTGTGGGCACGGGCGCGGAAAGGGGATACAAAAATCCCCCTGTCGTCGGGGTATGTCGGGTCAAAAACGACATTTTCTTACATACTGATTTAAACTACTTTCACTGTAAGTTCTCTTTTCCCTTTTACGAGCGATTAGGACCAATCGGAGAAGTGGCCGTCGCGGCGACCGAAACAATCGAGAGGGGATAAGATTTCTGGAAAATTTTGAACAACGAACGTTACGATTATTCAGCGAACGTCCTCCGAATAGTTTGCTCAAGAATCAACCAGTTTTCAGAACACTAAACAGGTAATATGCGTTTAGCGTAATAACGTTTCTATGAACTGCTTAATTTATAATAATTTGTGAAACGTTGGATGGATTATTGAATGGTACGTATTTTGACTAGCGTGTTCTTCTGTAATAGTTTAACGGGAAATTAGAAAATTCAAAGTCGTCGATAAATATTGTTCGTTTAATGCTGTAACGTTTTGCTTCGAAGTAGAATTTATATTACACTGAGACTTTTAACACTCGACACTCTATGATAAATAGTTAAAATTTTTAAGGACTCGAAAAGAATTATTTAATAAAGTAATATACTGTTCTTAAACTTTCTATCAATTGCATATTTTTATCTATAGTCTATTTATTGTCTATATTTTTTTATAGTCATTCGACCAACGTATTACAGCTTATAAAAGTATGATTGCATTGCCAATAAATAATAGTAAATTGAAAATCAACGACTCTAACAACCTGTCTCTTGTTAAGATTATGGATGATTGCTAATAGCGATTTGCAAAAAGAAAATGAGTTTGTCCCCCTTTTTCTTCGAAAGGCTTGCGAATGCATCGTTATGCTCCGAACGAGAACGAGAGTAAATATAAATGGTTGTTATCAGACGTGAAGGAGATTATTTATTATTATAGAAATTATGTAGAATTGCAGGATACGAAAATTATTTCAATCTTCGGAAAGAATAATAATCGGTGGAAACGTGTCTAGCGGTATAAGTAGAAAACGTTATTACGTGTTTACTTACTCGAACTTTTGACAGCCCTTTCCTTGGTCCGATCCCTTTACTCTCACGGGGATGTAGTCCAAGGTGTTCGCACGAATCCGTGCATTCCCAATGAACCTGCTTTCGAGCAATTTTTGACGCTTACTATTTCTTCACCGATCGCAGAAGATTCACAGAGCTCGTCTCGGTACACCGTAGAATGATTCCTTCCTCAATTTTTTTATTCGAGATTATCGCGATAGATATAAATTGGCAAGTACGGATGGTAAATGCAACAGAATTAGGACCGTTCGACCGTGTCGCGACGAAACGTGTAAAAAAACAAAGAGTAAAAATAGAAGAAAAAGAGAAAACAAAATTAAGACCGCACGTTGTAAACGGAACAAAAATTAAATGCGTACAGTTATATTGCAGAAGGTGTCGGCAAGACCCGATGCTTCGGCGGAACAAATCGAAAGTTGACTTCCGAAAGAACTGACGGAGAATATTAAGTGTCGCCGAATTCCTCCGTAGATATACCGCGAAATTTTCACTACCGTTCGTTAATTGAGTCGGCTTATCATTTCCCAGATGCACAATCACCTGTTTCGCGTCGCGCGCCGGGCTACACTGTGCCATTCTGTATCGTTCCTGGACTGTTGCACAAATTTCCCCTCTCCCTGTCCCCCCCTATTGACAATCGCTCACTTTTCCCGAGGTACGAGTTACCGATAGATCGCACGCCGATGTTTACCTACCTTTTCCGCGCCGAAACGTGACTTACGTCAAACAGGTGAATTAATTCCACGAAAGAGCAGCCGGCGATCGCAATTATTCGAACGAATATAAAAATTCGGTCACGTATTTTTCGAACAATACGCCTCGCCTTGTACGCGAATCGCGTCGGTATCATGATTCCTCGTTCATTAAAACGTACCCGCCGCTACCGCGATAATCAGAAGTCTTTGACTTCTTACGTCGAAAGAGAGAAAGGAATGTTGTTTAAAGATAAGTGTAAACCAAACGAAGAGGAAACGAATCCCGTTTTCCCCAGTGCGGTTGGACTTGACGTGGCACTGTAAAAAAAAAACAGAAAGAAAAGAAGAATGAAAAAGTGTCCTTAACGGAGGATTAGATACGGACAATTAAACAATAATAATTGTCATCAGATTCCATGCACAATAAGTTTTTCCTGCTACTCGTTTCCAGTTTCGTAACGTTCCCGGCAAAAGATAAATTGCGATAGTGGCTGCAAATTACACGAACTCACATCGTATCGACAAGTACTCTGACACGAGTTAACATCCGCTTGTTAATTAAAATTTCGCGTAACCGTTCGCATACGACGCGATCGTTCCGCGTTTTCTCGAAATATCAAACGGATTCGGTACGTTAGAAACTTTTTTTTTTCAATTTGCGCTATTCCCGTTTAACGCGAAAACCGTTTCTCGGTACTCGTTTCGGGATTAATCGCATTGCGTTTGGATGCGTCATGCATATTCTTATACAGAGTGTTCGGCAACCCCTGGGAAAAATTTTAATGGAACATTCTAGAGGCCAAAATAAGACGAAAATTAAGAATATCAATTAGTTGATGGAGGCTTCGTTAATGGGCTTAGTTAATGGGAGATTCTAGAGGCCAAAATAAGATGAAAATTAAAAATATCAATTTGTTGATGGAGGCTTTGTTAAAAAGTTATTAACGTCTAAAGTTCCGCCTGTAGAATGGCAATCCGCGTGCAGCTGCGTTCGCGCGGAAGGTTGCGGCAGGCCAGTGCTAGTGGTTCTCACGCAGCATGAAAAATTCTACTTACCGACGTTATCGACAACCTTAGATTTTTGTCCACTTATGGGAACGCGAACACCTTACGTTGAATAAGATTCAACCTGTCTTATGAAAATCCAGAAGGGCATATCAAAACTCGCCCGACGAGATTTTCACAGAGAAAGGATGAATGCCAGTTCCAATACACAATGTTGTGAACAAAAATCACACACACGCGATCATACACGCCCCACGATCGTCCACAGTGTCCGCAAGTGTCTACAAATAATCCTTTCAGGCACTAACTACTATGCAATTAAAGAAACACTCTATGTGTACATGTACCACGATTGTTCCGAGTTACTTACGAATAGAAATGTTCTTAATTTTTCAAATACACATCAATTTAAAAATGTAAAAAGGAATCGTAGGGTAAATGAAATTTTCGCATCGATTTATGTTCACGTCGAAAAATGTAACGATACTAGCAGCTGACTGTGCCATCGATCGACGAAGTTCAAAAGAAGAAACGCCGAACAGGACCCCGATTTTAAATCACTCGCTTTGCTTATCTCTCTCACACATACATACACGCACTCTACACTCAGTGGAGGCAAAGGGCAGCATCGGCACGTGTTCGACCAGCTAGTCAGATTGAATCTTATTCAACGTAAGGTGTTCGCATTTCCATAAGTGGACAAAAATCTAAGGTTGTCGATAACGTCGGTAAGTAGAATTTTTCATGCTGCATGAGAACCACTAGCACTGGCCTGCCGCGACCATCCGCGCGAACGCAGCTGTACACAGATTGCCATTCTACAGGCGGAACTGTAAACATTAATAACTTTGTAACGAAGCCCCCATCAACAAATTGGTATTCTTGATTTTCGTCTTATTTTTGCTTCTAGAATCGTTCATGTAAATTTTTCCGAGGGTTGGCGAACACCTTGTATAATATTTTGACAGTTAGTTATCCTACTTTATCGATTGGTATTAGCGGTATTTAATTTGTCATTGCGGCTTAAAAAGATACTTACGAGCAGACGTACGACGACCTAGCGTTGAGAAAGGATTATCGATACAATATTTCGAACAACCATGAATAACGTTAAATTCTCTGGATTGCGATTCTTACTACAAGACAGACGAAACGTTAAGTGTTTATCGTCCCAGAATCGACAAGAACAAACATTTTCGCGGTCATCAAAAGGATTTGTATAAACGCAGTCTAGACGAGGTAAAGCAACAGCTTAATTCTTCTCTGTTTATGCGATTTATGCAACAAAAAAGCATTCGATCATTTTCTAATTCCGTTTGCAAATGAATATTAAACTCGAAGTTTTATCTACTAATAAACAAGTTGATCAGCTATGTTTATTACATAAATGGGTGTAATAAAACAGAGGAAATGCAAAATCTCGGGTATTAATGGTGTAACGATATTTGCGATAAAGAGACACTCAAGTAATATAACGAAAATGCCCGATAACATTGTCATGTGTTTTGCTCATTAATAGCCAACAAAGAATTCTGAACGTGATCTCTTATCTCGAGACACACAGTCTGACATATGCCACTGTTGTATGTAGTAAGTATGCCGCGATTGCCATTGTTAATTTTGAAAACCAAGAACCGTAACATATTACTCCATTACAATTATATTACTTTTTAATACCGCGAAATTAACTAGATATAATTGATCTAATAACTATACAAATTTATAAAAAACTTATAGTTATTTAATATTACATTCATACTTTCTGGCAAAATACTAATACATTTTTAATTATTATTCAAATTGGTGTACACCATCAGTAAGTATAAAAATAACATAGATCGAACTCGACTGAAAATTTGCAATACTTTAACCTTTTACCTCTCTCTAAAACAAATAAATACTTATCTATACACGTGTATATATGTATACATACGCGCGTGTGTGACTTAAAAACAACACCTAATTATCTCGAACAATATGGATGACGCCAATATTTATCTGGCCTTGCGATGACCTTGAAAAACTAAAAAAGTCACGTTTGAATTTTTAGATGGAAAGATATATTCTTTATTACATATTCTTGTAGCTAATGTTAAAGTGTTTTTACATTACTGCTATACTTTCCTTTATCTTAAGCCGTTTCTGAGATATGAGCCCTCAAAGTTGACATGTCGTCATGCCGCGCCGGTATTAGCGTTACTTGATGCGATCACCTATACCGCGCCGTGGAGAATTCAAAGAACGCACGGACAATATTGTTGTACAGTCATTGTAAAAATGCCTTTTACTGCGGAAAAGAAAATTAAGTTTTTTTACGCTATGACGACTACTTTAGTCACAGGGCAGTGAGTAAAAAATTTCACAAACCCAAATAAGCCAAAACCGCATACATCGATGTTGAAAATCATTGTTGACATTTTCAAGAAAACTGGGAGTGTAAAAGGGGAAAACCACCGAGTTGAAAGTTGGTCAGAGACAGACGAGACAAACGTGTTGGCTGCGTTTTCACATTATCCTGCACATCCATTCGGACAGTGACAGCTAACAGTGGTGTATCCAAGCGGGTTATTCGTATGATCTTAAAGGAAAATAAATAAAAACCGTAAAAATCGCCAAATGTACACAAACTTTTTCTAAAATTGCTCAACATCTGGAATTTATACGTAATCTGATGATTATAAATAAATGTATTTTGTATACGAACGGAATGATGCGCATTCAAAATTCAAGGATGTAGTCAACAAGAAATTCATAATGGATAGGAAAAAGAATGTTCATTACAGACGCTCTATTATGATACGCTGAGGGATACATAATCGTCAAATAATTGAACCAAATTTTGTTGGTAGAACCATTATTGGAAAAATTTATTTAAGACTTTTGGATTCAAATGTATACCCTGTTTTGGAAGTTCCCTATTTGGAAGAGAAAAGTTGTGGTTCCATTTAATTTTAAAAACAAATGGATTGGTCGTACTAGTCCAAGACCTATGGTCTCTAAGAACACCAGGTTTTTCCGGTTGCAACTTTCTCTGGAGTTATCCGAAACAAAAAATTTATAATACCCCCATAGACACACTAAATGAATTACGAAAAAGGATCATAAACGTGTGTCAAACAATTACACAAAGAATGCTAAACAATGAAAAGCAGGAATTTTTAAAAAGAATGCAAGATGCATATTTTTGGATGGGCAACACGTTGAAGAAAATCGAAAAGACAATTTCGTAGCAGTTTCATGCATACATACACACACACACACACACACACTCTTAATCGGCTCTGTTAGAGCTACTATAATGTACGAAGTCCGACCGAACCACCTCCCCGCGGTGTACAGCAGGTAACACTAATGCCGGCGGTGCGTCAACTTTGAGGGCTTACATTCCAGAAATGGCTTATGCCAGAGAAACGTGAAGGTAGTGTTTTGAAAACGTTTTAACGTCAGCTACAAGATTATCTAATAAAAAAATGTAAGTTGCTATCTAAAAATTCAAACCTGGTATTTGTAGAGCTTTCCAAGGTCATCGCAAGATCAAATAAATATCGGCATCGTATGTTTTCCTTGATACTCTATAACTTTTGTCTAAAACATTTTTCCGTATCATTCATATTTTTCGAGATATTTAGGTGTTCTTTTTAATTCACACACATTATATTCATACTATATGTGTAGATTCATGTTGTTTACATTACTCACCTTTGTGACTTTTCTTGTTTTTTTTCTACCTTAACATCAAGTGGCATTTCAAGTTTACGAATGGTGCAATTCACGTTTGAAAAGAAAACAAAACAATCTACTTGATGCGTCGTGTCAACAAAGAATTTGTTTTGTAAAAGTATTTTATTAAAAATAATATACAGAAGTATTTTATTAAAGACAAGACGAAGAAAATCGTAAAACAAGTAATAAAAATTGAAAAAATTCTATGTGTGCGTCTAACAGTCTGGTAATTGCAGAACATAATTGCAAAGAATTCTCTATCGATCAAATGAATGTAAATATTACCGTAATTTTAGATTCCTGTAGTTAATGCCATGTGTAATCTTATGCAATTGCATAACGGAATGCAATTTTCTTTTGCGAGTCCTGTGACAACTTAGACAATCCGATTATTCATCGTACGAAATCTGCTAAAGCATCTATCAAAAACGAGTTTAACAGGCATGTAACATTTTCGCGCGAAAAAAATATCGATTCGTGTACTCTATAAATATCATAAGTTATATCGATTAAAGGTGTATTTCAAATGAAAAATAGTGTTGCCAGAAAACGATGATCATTAATCACGTAAATACAATTTTTCTCTAGAGTTCAAAGTACGATGGATAAGATTGATAGCGAAATAATTGGCGTTTGTTATATTCCTTATCGTACGGAAATTAAATTACCACGTTATTTTTTACGCGAGTCTTCGGTCGCGCGATTCCCTCGAATCACAGCTAGTTTTCATTTACTTGTTGTCACACGCATTCTCATATATCGTGCGATTTATTGTAACGTAAATGTCTGTCTCACGTAACTAATGTGAGTAAATTGCACTTCATAATCGCACGATCGTGCACCTAGATGTACCATCGGATAATCAGGGTACACCAAGGTTGATCCAATAGATCCGCATTGGCGTACACACAACCACGTCGCGGAGACTAGCTATGGATTTGAGATCATTGATCCTACGCTCGTGATCGATGAGGGCTGATATCCAGGCTAATGGCCTAGTTTACAATGAGCGTATCGAGTTGGTACTATATGTCTGAAGAAGTATCAAACCAAAATAGTTAGCCTAAACGCCTTTGCAGCGCTATAAACAGTTGTGTATTTTAAAAGTATGTAAATGAATTAACTTGAGGTTAGGTATGTCGGCTCGTGGCCATTACAGTTGATTACAACCAAAGCCATAAGTGCATACGATTCATCGAATTAAGTAAAGGATACGAGTCTACCTCTACGAGTGTCCTTGAAATATTTAATTGCTTATGATATTACCAGATTTCCTTTACCGTTTTGTCTCAACAGAGGATGAAAAAAACTTCGTAACGCCCGAAAGACGCAGATAAAATAACCTATTGAATAAAATTTTAATTGTTCGAAATATTTGATTGTAGATACGTCGTTGATTATATCTTTGATTATTCTTCGATCTTAATCGATGAAGATTTCAGTAGCACGCGATTATGGAGAAGAAAAAACAAGTGTACTTAAATATTACTGTTTGCGTCACGTGCAATGATACTTATCTGCAAAGAAATGCGTAAAAAACAAACTTCAGTCTACAAGTTTACGATATTCTAGACATTTAAAGGAGTACTATTGATGCAATAATTGAATAATTAAATAGGTCCAACTTTACTACACAATTTTAATAACCTAATCTCCATCAAAACGAAATATGCTAAAAGCGATCATTCGAGCATGCAAAGTTTAAGGGGAGGAGGGAAGGAGGGAAGGCAATCCTGTAAAAATCTATTACTAGTAATTTTTTAAATAACATTTTGAAATTGTAACATTTTTATAAATTTTTTACATTGAATTCAAATTTGTTAAAACTAATTTTTTAGATAAGAAACAATTTTGTTTAAAAAAATCAAAAATTACATTTTTGTAAAAATTATAACATCTTTTATATTGTTATATTACCTAAAAGACTTCTAATGCGTTCATTGAACCTTCTTCAATAGAAAAATAATAGTACAAATTCAATATTTTTTATGAAAAATATATATATTTATATTTATATTTTGTACATCAAAAAATACATCAGGAATATTTACAGATATCTTACTTTCCTTGAAATTGTGTTCTACATTGTGATGTAAATTTTTATGAACAGTGATTTTGAATATAATCTATTGCTTTTATGCATTCTCGTTTTTTAATGGATAAAGAAACATTCCATAAAATCGTATCAAGGATAACTAACTTTGATTATTGTAATTACTGAAAATGGTATCCATATCTAACTGAGACAACATTTCATCATCGGAATCATTTTCAGTATTATTATAAAGTGATGTATTAGATGAAGAATTTGGAATATGAGACAACTTATGGTTGTGAAATGTTTCTTTGTCATTCTTTAAATCTGACGGAGAGTTAGTTTCAGAATTTTGTGACTGAGTTAATGTATTTATATTTTTAAACTGCAATAATTTGGATCGAACTGAAAGTTTGTTCCGTTTCATAGTATTAAGAAATTGTACACAATTTTCTGGGTTATCATTGCATGGTGTATATACCTTTTTGTCTACTGATTCTGTTTCTTGCACCATGTTTACATTACTTTTGTCAACATCCATTTTTTCAGACATTTCCATTTTTTCTACTTCTGAACACATTTGTATAGACGATGGATGGTCAACATGCGTTTGCAAAATTGTTGAATTATGAGACAACATTTTACGTGTATTTGTGTTTGGGGAAAACTTTTTTAAAGTTTGTACTAGAGTATCAGACTTTTGTTGACAACCATTTTCCATATTTCCTATTTTGTTTGTTACCAATTCTTTATTTTTTTTGTTTATATATTTAGCATCTTTAGATAATGCACTTATAAAATTCTTATTCTGAGAATTTGTAATTTTATTGGAAGAAACTGTAAAGGAAATATCTTCTACCAAATCAAAATTCATCGATTTGTTCATATTCTCAAATGTTTTGTTTACATTTGTATTACAATTTAAGCTTTTTGTATTGAAGTCTTTACACGATGTTTTTAACGATTCTTCTTCTAGAGCTTTTGTAAGAACATGATCTATCTCATCTTCTTCTTCTTCTTCTTCTTCTCCATTTGAAATATGTTTTAAAACTAATTCCATATAATGTGTACGCTCTATTTTACCCTTGTTAGAGTAAATAGCTAACAAGGATGAGGGTGAAATTAGAACTTGATATTTATTTGAGATAAAAGATTCAGAAGTCTTTAATAAACCTACATCACATAGTAATACGACAACATTTGTCTCTAATAAACCTGGATATTTGAGTGGTATGTCTCTATGTACAATTCCTTGAATACTATCTGTGAAATCTTTTAAAACAATAGGGGGATTGTCATGACTATGATCTATACGTTCCACTATGCCTGCCAAAAAATCAATTTTTGTGCTATTGTAACCGTTTGCACTTGCCATTTGTTTTACAGTAGCAATTTCGTATCCTTTTAAAAAACTATCTGGCAAATCATCTAACATTAACTGCCAAGCACCTTCTGTGAATAGATCTTTTGTGTTTTGAGAACAATATTCAGGTAGATTAGAGTCACTTGATTCCACTGTACTCTCATTTTCTTCTAAACTGTTTAAGTATGAAATATGAGAAACATTTGCATCTATATCATCTGGTAGTAAACCAGCTGGACCAGGAAACCTTCTAATTAGTGTCATCTTTTTATTTGACTGTACTTGTGGAGGTTTAATTACAGACTTAGTTTTAAATTCTACTTTATCTACAGATCTTTGTTTCAATATGTTGCACAATAATTGTTTTCTTGATGTCATATGTTTAATATTATCAGTATTTGAACAGCTCTTTTCTTGGAGACTCTTTTTAGGAATTTCATATTTTATTTTACTATTTGGCAATATAGATTTTTGTTGTTGCACGTTTGAGTTATTATTGATTTTAATATTTGTTTCAATCTTTTGTGATTCCAAATTTTTTGTATTATTTTTGATAACTTTATCATCTATATTTTTATTTTTAAGTATTCCATGCACTAAATCTTTTCTAGATAATTGATTATTTCCAAAGCTTTGTGTTTGATCAGATTGTTGTTTTAATAAATTATTTTCATTCAACATTTTTGAATTACTTAACACACTTTGAGTAATAATTTTGTTTGTTGGACTTTTGTTAAACATACCAAGAATTAAATTTTTCCTTGATACTTTATCCTCGTCACATGTTTTGGCATTGTAAAAATTCTTTTTTTTACACAAATCCACTTCATTGTTGGATGAAAGGATGGAATCATTAGAAATTTCTACTTTACGTCTTTTCGGTTCTCTTTCATTCTCGTCTGTTATAGAATGAAGTCTAATTGATTTGTCATCTACATCGTTTAAGAAATCCTAGAAATATGTATTAAAAATTAATATACGAATTATATTAATATTAGTATATACAATAATATTTTCCTATTAAACGAATACGATTACATTTATAAACGATATTGGTAAAAATAGTCAATAAGAATATTTATTTTGAATTTACCTGATCGAGATCCCAATCATCACTCTCAAACATTTTCTAGGTACTAAATTTTTCGTAATTGCAAAAATATGTTTCCGAGCATTCGCTTCTCTTTGAACAATGAATAAAATGCTTGCGAAATTATACAGTAAATAAATTCATATTTTACATCGAATCTTACAAACTGTCATATATGTGAAGTGAAGCATCGATGGCATAGTAAAACATGATATACCCTAAAAAATTTGGCAATGTACGGCGGCCATATTAAAAAGTGAGCGGGTATTTTGAATTTGAATGGTCGAAAGTTAATAACAGTATTATATTTCCATGGATAAAATGTAGGAAAAATAATTAAAAAGCTATCGTTTACAATGAATAATATCAATTTATGAAAATTTAATGCATAATATAAATACAGTTATATACTATTTTTAAAAATACATTATTTCTTATGTATAATCTATTCCATTTTTATTCTGTGTATAACATTCCTTTGGCAACATTGTTTGCAGTTTCTTTATCAAGTAATTTTTCCACAATAGCCAAACCAAAAGCAAATGCAGTTGCTGGACCTCTGCTAGTTATAAGATTGCCTAAAATATATGTATGTATAACCATAAATAACATGTCTTTAAAAGTAGTCAGAATTTTGTTAGCAAGCTCATACCATCAGTCACAACTTTATCCTCTAAATATTTATATTCATCCGTTAATTGATCTTTCATTGCAGGATAAGATGTGATTTGTTTTCCTTTAGCAATGCCATGTGCTTTTAGTGCAGTTGGTGCTGCACAAATAGCAGCAATGACTCTGTTTTCCTTTTCTTGTTGTTGTAGCAGCTTTCCTACTTCTGCAGACTATATGATATGCAAACATAAGTCCATCTCTGTTTTTCAACGATGTTTTATTCTACTTACTGATGCAAAAGCTTTTGAACCACCAAGACCACCAGGCATTATTACAACATCATATTTTTGGTTAACTAAGTCTTTAAGACTTGCATCAACGCAAATTTTAACGTCACGACTGCATTTTACACATGGAGTTTCGCTAAGACCAGCTACGGTGACATCGACCTAACAATAATTTATAACTAAATTATATAAAGTTTTCTTAATAGAATTCAATCAAGCATGTAATTAGTTAATACTCAAATGAAAATAATCTGTCTTTATTAGATAAAGCAATATTTTGATTAATATTCAATGCAAATTATTAATGTTCAAATTTACTGCGTAAATATTTTAAGGTTATATTTTTTAGAAAACGTACTCCGGCTCGGCGTAAAACATCCACCGTTATCACCGCTTCCATCTCTTCCGAACCGTCGGCTATCAATAAAATTGCTGTTTTTTTCGCCATGTCTATGGTATATTTTGCATTCAATTGCAAAACTGTCGGAACTCTATAAACCAACTGCGTAAAATATGAAAGTGTGCGACCCAATATCGACATGAACATAGATGATAAAGAAAGTAGAGATAAGTGGTACTCAATGCCAATAATTGATGTTTGGTATTATCAAATACAATAAGCATACTTTAAAGTATCAATTTTAGATATTAACATAATTTTTATTTAGACAATTAGTAGTAAAGTATTGTAAAATTAATTTTGTTTGAAGAAATCGTATCTCAAAATTTAAATCGGTAATTCTTGCGTAGAAGTTTCTAAAAATATGTAAAAATTTCACGTACGATAAGTACTCAAATTTCTTAGCATTAAAAATATCTATAAATTAGAATAAAATTAGTGATTTTGTAAAAGTGAAATAAATGAATAGATCAAAATTTATTCACCTTTTTTTTTATACAATAAACTATCAACAATAAGCTGTTATAATTGAAGCATCGAAAATCTAAAAGTCCAAAATTTAAATTGCCACCAAAAATTCATTGACGAGAAAGAAACAAGGGAATATGTGGAATTGGAACGCACCCCCACAAAAGAAAAACGAAACAAAACGTAGTACAAGATGGCTGCGTTTGGGTGTTGTGGCTACTGATTTGTGAAAGATATATTCTATAATACTCGATGGTTAATTTATAGTGAATCGTTAAGTTTCTATACCACTCATTTATTGGCGTAATCGGGTCTGTGTGTAACGCGTATACGTGGAAGCAAGTTCATTGGGAGGAACAATGCGAGCACGTCGTTGAAACATTTATCACGGGTGAGTTTGCCTTGAAATTTTATGGCTTTCTACTTTATTTTAACGGTTCCTCGGAATTTTGCCAAGGCGAGGCGCGATGAGACGAAAAACTTTAACGAACGGACCGCAACACGTCAGAATAACTTAATAACTGTTTGCCGTTCGTAATTCCGTCCACGCACACATTTCATTCGCGTTTTCCTGCGTACATGACGAAATTGTGTAAATAGCTGTTTTTTTTTTTTCTATACTTCGCATTGCACATCGATGAGTCAATCAAAATTTTTTATGACGTCCATCACTTCTTGGCACGCTTCAATTATGTTATAATGACGATAAAGCGTTTCAATTAAGTAAAGCTCATTTATGCCGTTTACCGCTTTCACCGTGACTCAAGACCACTTCAAGAAAGTAGAAATATGTATTTGCGAGTGCGTTTTAATGGGTTATTACACAAACATTCAGTTTCCTTTACGAATCTTATAATTCTGCAAGGTCAGAGAATTGTTTCTTTTTTTTTTTAACAATTATGCAAATTAGGAGAAGCTGATGTTTTAGGATTTGTTTACATATTCTTTCATTAATTATAATTTATTCATGTATTATATTATGTAAATTAGAGGTACAAGTAGGAACAATTTCTATGTATTTTCATATTTGGAGGAAAAAATATTTCTACAGTATTCCTTTTGTAGTATCTATAATTTTTTAAGTAAATCTTATTGTATTTTATTATTATTTTCATAGGGTGTATCTTATGTATTTCATTAGACCGATTGAATAGTTATAAATATACGCAGCAAAAAAAAATATAAAAAAGATGGTTCAAAGATAATGATTAATTAATGAAATTATGAGCATTTATTTGCATTTATAGAATTAAAAATATTTGTCACCATGTATCTTGATATTAACAATCATTCTGTGTATGTAACTAAATAATGTAAAAAGTACTGTCATAATAACTGACATCATTGTTGCAAAAAGGGTCATTGAAAAAGAAGCATGTTAGCAGTACTTCTTCCTACAAAATTATTACAAATATACTGATAGAATGACTATACAGTTCAGGGGGTGGATGATAGGAATTTACTGAAAGTCCAAGATAGAAGCCACTCGAAACGCTGGAGAAAGACGGTGGAGCTTCGGAGGAGGGGGAGATGTCCGCCGGCACCCAGGGCGAGATTCGGGTTGGCCCTTCGCACCAGGTTTGCCATATACCTTGAAAACCTTTTTGCTACTTAGCTATATTGCACAATGTACCTAACTCAAGGCTTGTTCTCCTAAGACATGTATTTTGAGTGTATAGATTAAGACAAATATATGATTACCAAAGCATCGAGTAATTGTGACATACTCTATTGTGTTACTTAATATTTTCAGTGGTAATTGCTCTTAATTCATATACTTCAATCGTTCTGTGAAAGTAATTGGAATTAGGACAGTAAAATATTTAAGCGATTTGTTATCATTTAAAATTGTTAGGTATGTGTACATTGTTCAAAAGTTATTGAAGCGTCTGTAGTTTTAAACAACTTTGCATTATAACAAAGAGGTTTGAAACTGTGTTGTTTGTAAATTTATAATGGACATTAGTAGCAATATATAAGTACTATTATTGACTAAGGATATAGAAACATTTATTTGGTAGATAAATTTTATTTTAAGCATATATTATTATGCATACATTGGTTTTGATTAATATTTCATAAATGCTGTTAATATATTTTATTAAAAATGTCAGCAAACATTAAGGTATCAAAGTATTATCGATTTATGTGCTCTTCAAAAAGAATGGAAATGAGGATGTATTTGGGTAACATGTTCCAGGAATATATGATTATTTTGTAATGCTATCAATTGTAGTTATGTTATTTTCAAGAATTATTAAAAACATGCATGGCGTGTGCTTAGTTACAGATTTAGAGCAATTAAGATACCAGTGTTTCTTTAGTGCTTGAAATTCACATTCATAGAATATGTTTTCATTGTCCAATTACAACCTTAATATCTGTTTGTATTTGTACACGCTAAAAGAGAAATTATAAATTTAAATAGTGAAAAAGCAGAGACCTATTCCTTACACAGTTTGGTTGTATGTCGATGGTTCAAATAACAATGATAGTTATTCTTTAAGTCATAATGGTAATGATTCTTATTTACTCAACAGTATAATCCCAACGCTTAACTACCATCCCTCAATTTATTACTATCACTGAAAGACCCTGAATATGATGCAAGTTATTATGATGAAACATTCTATGATAATATGTAAGTTGATATAGAAATAGTAGTATAAGGTTATTTTTATATTTATAGTGGTATTCAGTCACGGTGAAATTGCAGAAACATATTTGTTACAAACAGAAATTATTCTGTTTATATAATAACCCATTGGTTACTTGAACCATCTATGAGTATAATATGTTGCGACTGAAATATTGAAACTATAAAATTTATGGAAAAGCATTTGTATTTTTATCTTCTTGACTTTTCCATAAATATGTTCTGTTTCCATCTTGTAAATATCATGTAATTTGTTGTTTGTGAAATATCGTGTTTTCTTTCTTCGGCTCACTCTCATTTACACCATTCGTATTTATCCATTCACTAAAAGAATTACGTGAATGTGCTTTTGTTTGCTATATTAACTTATATAGCTTTTATTGTAAACGTGAACATAACTAATGTTATTAAATGTAAAGCTATAACATGTGTATAATAATCATACATTATTTGAATTCTCATTTTTCATGCTTATATTTATGATCATTAGTTTGTACACAAACATAAAGTACTCACGCTACTTCTCGTACCAGTAATGTAACAAAAGGAACAGAATGGAATAAAAATTATACTGGCTCGTGTAGATTTCGAAAAGCAAGCCGGAGTATAGGTGCGTACAACTAACTCGCTTTGGCATTGGTGCTAACCACGCACAATCCCGAATTTTGGGTACAGGAATTGGTTTCTTGTCAGGCCCGTTTGCCTGAGTATCGGCCGGGTATACCTCCTGGAGAGCTGCTTCCTGATCCAGAGTTTTCTAAAGAACGAGAGGAGCTAAGATGGATTCCAGCTATGGCATTGGACGGGGATCTTCTGATGTACTTAAGAGCAGCTCGATCTATGGCTGCATTTGCTGGCATGTGTGATGGAGGATCCCCGGATGACGGTTGTGTGGCTGCTTCCCGAGACGACACGACTATCAATGCTCTGGACATCTTTCACGACTCTGGCTATGACCCAGGAAGAGCGTTGCAGGCACTCGTTAAATGTCCCGTACCTAAAGGCATCGATAAAAAGTGGTCCGAGGAGGAAACTGTAAGTTGAAACGACTAAACGGGAAATTGTTTGATTCGGTAGTCGCGTTTTCGTAATCGTACGTGCGGATCGCGTTACTTAGAAGAAAAGGTGCCAGGCACACAATTAATTGGCCGTCGCTCTGTCTCATAGAAACGCTTCGTCAAAGGACTTCGTCAATTTGGGAAAAACTTTTCGAGGATCCGAAAGGATCTTTTACCTCATAAAGACACGGTAATCGAAATCTACGTACACATAAGGTAGGCCGGGATAGTACGAATTATTGTAGATTTTTTTTTTTTATATTTTTAGCCGGAATTGGTCGAATTCTATTATTTATGGAAGAAAACGCCAGGTGCAAATAATAATCGACCTCATCGACGACGACGGCAGGGCTCGCTTAGAAGAATTCGTAACACGCGTAATTCAAGAGCCGGCACTCCCAAAGAAGAAGTCCCTACTCCTCCCAAAGATACTCCGCCAGTTAGTGTCAGTCAGAAAGAGCCCATTTCTGAACCTGAAACAGTACCTGTTGGAACACCGGCTAGTAATAATCCTGGCGGGGAAATTAGTTCTGTGACAGAGGACGATAATTCGGAGGAAGATAGTGATTCCAGAGATACGAATACGAACGGAGCAACGCATTCGTGCCAACATTGCTTCTCAACTAATTCGAAGGATTATCAGGTAGCTGGCAAGGATAGATTATTGCTTTGTACGGAATGCAGAATACATTTGAAGAAAACCGGAGAATTGCCGCCTGCCCCTCCGTATCTGTTCCGCCCTGTGCCTGCGGAATCACCAGATAGCCCAGGGAGAATGCGTACGAGAAATAAGGCCAAGGAAACGCCTAGACCTGCAAGACCTCGACGTACAGGTGGAACCGATACTCCCGATCAAGAGAAACAACAGCAACAGCAACAAACACCAGACAAGAGCAAGAAAAAATCCTCGAGCAAACCAGAAACACCGAAGAAAGGTCAGAAACGGCCTCAAACAGACGAGGTGGATGAGGATAAGGAATCTCAGAAACGGAAACGCGGTGAACGTCCTGAGAGTCCTTCAGAGTCACTCACAACCGATAGCAATTCTCTCATGGATGAGCCTGAAAGAGAAGGAGAAGGTGATACAAACGAAAATCAACCCACTCCAGTTACAGTGCCAACCGAGGAGCCTGTGAGTCCGGCTGTAACTACACCCGAGGAACCTTCTGAGCCAACGCCAGTGTCTACTCCTGTACCAACACCTATACAGACTTTACCAATATCTGTTCCTGTCATTCATACCTTGGATAAGAAACCTTTGTTAGAAGAACCGGCAGAAACGAAAGATCAAATAGACGATGGACCTTTAGCTATGAATCAACCCTTGAAGTTGGAACCCTTACCTATAGAACCAGCCATGTCTCCATCTAACGAAGATATAAAGGAACCTGACCAACAGTTGAATTTGACTACGTCGCAGCCATTAAACATGAACGATATTAGTCAAAATATGCCGCGTAATCTATCACAAACGATTCAAAATAGTGGTATTTGCACATCGACTGGCTCACAAAATATACAAAATTCGCAAATTATGTCTCCAACGCAACAAGGACTGCCACTTAATATGCAATACACATCCAATGTTCCTCCTGTTCAAAATGTACCACAGAACTTATCGCAGAGCATGCAGATGCCACCAAATATGCCTCAGAACATGTCAAACGCGCAAAACATGGGACCAACGCAAAATCTTCGAACTCACGGTGAAAATATGTCGAACGCGCAAAATCTGCCCCAGAGTATACCGGGACCACCATTAAACCTCAATATCTCGCAAAGTATACCGACGAATATAACGCAAATGCCTCAAATGTCGAGTTCACCGCAACCTCTTGGTTTAACTGTAATGT